TTGGCCAAGTTCAAAGTTGTACTTAGATCCATTGATTTGAATTCATAACTAATACGGCTTGCACGCCCAACTAGTTGTCATATTCTCTTTTATTAAGATCCAAATCAATTAAAAATGAGTATGTTGATTTAGTTGTGAATGCAAATAAACCACATTTTGCGATAATGATGCCAATAAGTCACCTATTCATCAAAACCAAATTATAGCCCGCATCGCAATTGCAAATTCTTTTGCGGAACACCCATGATTTTCTTATTAGAAGTCAATTAATTAAATCAATTTATAAAATACTATTTATTTGTCTATTTATTTGAAAACATTAGAATGTTCGGCAAAAGATCTTTAGCCTTGGCCACTAGGCAGTGTTTATAAAACTTTGAAATGTTCGAATAAATTGACAAGCTGCTAGTTTTTATTAAGTAATAATTGATTTTAAAGTCAGGGGACAGGCACCTCCTAGCCATAATTCAACTGCAAATTTTCACACTGACTCTGTAATGGGAAGTGCTCGTACAACATGACGGATGGAATATGTTAGCGGTTAAAACGATCCCCCCTCACATATGGATGAAAAGCGACTCAGCTGAACTGACAACTACAACATCGATCTACAAATTGCATTCGATTCAATCCTCGCAACACATTTGAAATTCAATTCGTAATTGTATTTAAGTTTTACTTTCGCACGATGGGAAATATTCCAAGACAATTGCAGAGTAAATGCCATAAATCGCAATTAATCTTGGCCAGTCATAAATTCGACTATTTTGCAATAAACTTAAAACAAAATCGAATAAAGTTGTACTTACAACAGCAACAGCAAAGGCCTTCACAGTCAAGTTCAAATGCTGTACGTTTTTATAGCTATACTCGTAGAAGCTTTAGAAGGACAAGTTACTTAATTTTGCCAACGTTCTGCTGCAAAATAGTTTCATTCTAAACTTTCATTCAACTGTGCGTCATACCAGGGATTTCCAAAGCCAAAGAAAAAACAAACATTCAAGTGTGTTTTGCCTGCCAATTAGCGAGCCAGGGGACCGCCAGGAATTTCATTTCATTTTATTTCATTTCCTACGTCACAAAACAGGGCGACCGGCTGCTAAATATGGCGACCAAACTACACTGATACAAATTCTTATCAACATCCACACGTAGCACGTAGTATGGTGCAGAGAGTGTAGTATGTGTGCTGTGTCGGCTATGAGCTACGATCGGTAATTGCAGCGGCTTTAAGAGCAGGAACTGGTTTTTTTTTTCTGTCATTTTGGGTTCTATTGCCGTACCGCCGCTGCTGCTGCTTCTGTGGTTTAGCTTTGGCGAGCGCCATTCTTCATCGCGCGCCAACGTCGACGTCGTGGCAGTGCTGCGACTGCGACTGCGCCGCCGGCAGAGGCTGGAGCTGATCCACCGGATCGGATATAAAAGTTAGTCGGGTGCTGGGATTCTGATTAGTCTGCGAGCGCCGTTTACAAGTACATGGCACGTTAAGTTCTAAGTGTTCAGTAGTGCGTTGCAAGTTTTTTGGGCAAAAAAAAAAGTGAAACGCAAGTGAAGTGACCAAAATAATTAATAATTTCAAAACTGGTAAACTCACTGAAAGACAATAACGAGAAATCAATAGAAACGTGCTCAGTGTTAGGCGCCCAAGAGATACATATTTGAAAAAGAAACCGAATCTGTTCAAATAATTCAAGTGACAGCTTACAGCGTATATAATTAGAAACGGTACGTATGCGTGATAACCAATAATATTTCAATAAAGACCCGCCAAATTAGCTTTTCCAAAAATGAATATGCAAATTGACTTGACATGCATGTTGAGCAGGTGTTAACAGAATAATTCTCAAATCAAGTTGCTTAAGTTATTACGAAATTACATCATTTCCGACAGCTAATTACATAAAAATCATTAGATGAGACAATTACAAATTACAAAAAAATTAATAACATAGAAAATGCAATTAGTTATTACTAAATAATGGCTTCAACAAAATTGTTTTCACTTCGCTTCAGTCACCATAAAACTAATTTGGTTCTAAGGTTCCTTCGGCCAACAATAATTAGCGACGAAAACCGCCAAGAACATATTTTATGCAAAGTTCATTATTGGCATATGCAATTTCATTGAACCTGAATCTTAAAACAGAATGTACGGCTGATTAAAAAGGAATTTTTAAACGGTAAAGAATGAGCGCAGCTCAAAAAACCAGTTCAATGCACAAATCGAATCAAAGCAGCCAAGGAAGTAACCGGAAAGCTTATTAAAATAAGGAAACTGCACCCGAAAGTTGATCGGCTGCAATCAGAGATCTCTGCCCGTTTAAGGTGGGGCAGGGTCATAAAAGTTTAATTCAATTATCACCGCACTAAAACGGTCAAAGTCCTATTTTTGACTGGGCATTGGGAAACTGCTTATGACAATTGCATTCTGTTGTTTTATTGGTTAGCACCTTGTAGCTATTGGCTCTTGGCTTAATGAATCGTTTGTTCGGCAAATAATCTTTAAAATTAATGCTAGCATAAGTACCACACAATTGACATTTAATTTGTTTTGGAGCACTTAACTAATTGCTTGCTATACATATTGGAATGGCTCTACACCGGCTGTGATGGATTTATAATTGCAATTGAGTCATTGGCCAAAGCAATCGGCTATTAATTATGTTAAGTATGTGCTAAATGTATGTCGCATATCTATTACAAGTGTGCTTTATGGTGCCTACTGGTCGGACTGCATAATTTGCATTTGCCAGCTCAGAGCCAGGCTCTTTAATGAGCTTGCGAAACGAATCCCGCATTGACGTAAGGTGCTCCATGCAGAGATCGCAGTTGTGTGTTCTTGTGTGGTTTTTTCTGTCTCAGCTAGTTATTTATTTTTGCTACTGACTTGTCATCCAATTGACTCACAATCGGAAATTCTGAGGGCTCCGAGGAAAACAACATTGCCGGTGGAAAAAAAAACCCCACACACACACACAACCAGACCACACTCACTTTGGGGACGACCCCAAACCCATGCAGAATCCGCATCAGCCGCCTAAATTAGACGCTTTTTACTCAATTAAGCAAATCAGTCACGGCACAGCAAAACCGAGCATAACTGATAATAAAAAAAAATGCAAAAATAAACAGCAACAATAAGATGGATTTTGATTTTGATTTGTCCGCCTCCCACGACAGATCGACAGTCGGCGCTCGGCGTTCGGCGGTCAGCAAATTAATTAGCCGCACACTTTGAAATGGGCAGCGACGGAAACGTTTCCAACGACACGAGATACTAGATTCTAGATACAAGATATATCGGCGACCTTAGGCAATGTTGTTGATCTGGCAAGTGCAGCCATACTTGCTACCATAAGTCATTCAACCCGACAAAAGGTAGTTAATAATTATGTAAATTACAAATTACATGGCAGGGTGATAATTATGGAACGATTTTCCAAAAGCCTCACCAGCTCCAGCAACAGAAAACAATCTAACACAAGTGGAACCTTGAACGGAAAATTAGTACCAGTATGCAGTTGTAAGCCTGGTCTTAAATGCTTTTCAATCGAGTTAGTGCCGGTGCTGCTGCAGCTTGGCGGCTAAGGTGGCTAACCGTTTTATGCGAGTTGGGTTTATATTGGATTTTTTTGTATTTGTTGATTTCGTTGATTTAATGGCAAACAGGGGCTGTAATAACATTAAATCAAACGCTTGGATTTCACCTCATCAACAGAAGCAGCGAAGGTGAACAGAAGTCGCTGGCAGCAGGCTGCGGATGCAATGCGGTGCATTAATCGATGATGTGAAATGCTAAGAACTCGATGCGGCTCAAGAATGCGCCACCAGGCACAACAATAGTATGGAACAGATTTCTAGCACATTGTATGCAGATACGAATATACATACCTACGTATGCTGGCAATGGGACACTCAAATATATAATCAGCAAACATAGCAGAAGTTGTCTGTATGCAAGTGAACAAACTAATTGGACTCACACGGCGCATACGTAATGGGCTTGGGCGCTTGGAAAATGTTCTCTGCCTAGCCTTGAATTCGTTACGTATACGCCCCGTGTGCCGTTGTAAATTGCTCCGACTGCCAAAAAATGTATGCCAAACGAGTACAGCAAGCCAGGGTTAGAGCTAGAGCTAGAGAACCAGAACCAGAAGTTTGTTACTGGCCACTTACAATAAAGACCGGGCCAATAGACTAAAAATTCAGCTTTGATATTGCGCAAGTGAAGAAAACTTGTTTGGAGCTTGGCACGAGGGGGTAGAGCTTACAACTCACTACCTGGACGGAGGCACTTACTTCCATGTATGTAGGTGTACTAACAAAGGCCCAGAAGATGAAGCGGAACCAAATAAATAATTCATTTTGGCCACGAAGCTTCCTGGCCGTGCGGCACCGCCTTTCCTGCTTCCTTAGTCGGAGCTCTCTTTAATGAGCTCTCCAATCCAATTTTAAAATGAAATCAGAGATTAACATTACTTAAGGCCAGGGGTACTGGTAATTGCCGTTCTTGAGCCTCTAGACGGCTGTCTGTCTTCATGTTTTGGATTAAATCGTTTGACATTGGCAGATACAGCCAAGCAGATACGGACTCGGAGATACAGACTCGGACACCAGAAGTTGGCGGCGCAATGACATTTTACCCGCCAGTAGCTCGGATTTATGACACGCCAATGGAATTAAACGAACATGAACATAAGGTTGTCTTAGCAGCTTGAAGACCTCCAGCCATCTTGGGCTAGTTACCAACGTTTTCAGCTCAACTCTTGTTGGCCAACGCCCGTCAAATGGGCCAGGCAATTGAATTATTTAATGCAATTAACACGCCGCATTACGAACGCTTGTTTTGGCTTCCAGCCAAGTCCAGTTATCCGATTGCTAATGCCATAGCCGATTTAGTTGGCCATCGAACAGGGAGATGGTAATCTCGATCTCCAGTCAAATTATATTTATTTATGGATCAACTTTAAGTACTTATGTTTCATTCCCATAACTCATAAGATCTACTCACCAAAGACCGGAAAATGCTTGAGAGTATGTCTGGTGATCACATAAATTAATCTGCTCGCAATTAGTATCGTCTAACAGGTGTCTATGCTAATGAATTATATAATAATCTGCCCCGATGTGGATTTAAGCCTTTTATAAAAAACGAGTATCCATGCTAGTGTGACTTGGCTTAATCAATCGGTTATGAAAGGTCTTGATGTCTTGATAAACTTGTCAGAACTATTGTGGGTCGGTCCGGAATGATCGAGTATTTTTATAGGAACTACTCTACATTTTTTATTGAATAATTATAATTTACTTTTTAATGATAAAATGTGCTTTTTATGACCAGATTTTTTTTATTGATGATTTAAAGTCCACTTATCATTTATAAAAGGAATCTTTTACGAGCTTTACTTTTGATTATTTTAACATGAACTATTAATTAACGTTAATCTGTCTATTGACTATAAGGTATTTATTTTTTTTTGTAACAAAAATAGATGCCACATATGTATGACTCTCATTGTTCTATTCTTAGGTTTTAGTTTTTTCCTTAGTTAAGAAATCAATTATAATGAAACCAGACATCTTATGAATAACCATGTTTGAATGATATTAATAACTACTGTTCTAGCGTAAATAGACCTTACCTAACAAACCTAACCCAAGAATGATGCAATGCTTAATGGAACCGCTTCCATCCGTACAGGTAACACAGCTTCAATGGGTTCCCTGCCACAGTTGTCGATTGTCAAGGGTCTGCAGCAGGACTTTGCGCCCCGGGCTCTGCACCGCATCTTTGAGGAGCAGCAGCTGCGACATGCCGACAAGGTGGCCCTTATTTATCAACCGGACGGATATGGACACGGACACTCGATGGCACCCAGCCAGAGCAGCTACCGCCAGATGAACGAGCAGGCCAATCGGGCTGCCCGGCTTCTGGTGGCGGAGACCCATGGACGCTTCTTGCAGCCCAACAGCGATGGGGACTTTATAGTTGCCGTTTGCATGCAGCCCTCGGAGAAACTGGTTACCACCCTGCTGGCCATTTGGAAGGCCGGAGGCGCCTATCTGCCCATCGATCCCAGTTTCCCAGCCAACCGCATCCATCACATTCTGCTCGAGGCAAAGCCCACTCTGGTCGTGCGCGACGATGACATCGACGCTGGAAGATTTCAGGGCACTCCCACACTCTCCGCCATGGAACTGTACGCCAAATCCCTGCAGCTGGGGGGCTCCAACTTGCTTTCGGAGGAGATGCTTCGCGGGGGCAACGACCACATTGCCATCGTTCTTTACACTTCCGGAAGCACTGGTGTTCCCAAGGGTGTCAGACTTCCGCATGAAAGTATACTGAATCGCCTCCAATGGCAATGGGCCACCTTTCCGTATACCGTCAATGAAACGGTCAGTGTTTTCAAGACGGCCCTCACCTTCGTGGACTCCATTGCCGAGCTCTGGGGTCCGCTGATGTGTGGCCTGGCCATTCTGGTGGTTCCCAAGGCCGTGACCAAGGATCCCCAGCGCCTAGTGGCCTTGCTGGAGCGCTACAAGATCCGACGCCTGGTTTTGGTGCCCACCCTGCTGCGTTCGTTGTTGATGTACCTGAAGATGGAAGGCGGCGGTGCTGCCCAGAAACTACTCTACAATCTCCAGATCTGGGTCTGCTCTGGAGAACCCCTATCTGTGGCTCTGGCCAGCAGCTTCTTCGACTATTTCGACGAGGGCGTTCATCGGCTGTACAACTTCTACGGCTCCACAGAGGTGATGGGCGATGTCACCTACTTTGCCTGCGAGAGCAAGAAGCAGCTGAGCCTCTACGATAATGTTCCCATCGGTAGGATCCATAGAGCTATCTTTTGAAAGTATCTATAATCGTCTTTTCGTTTCACCAGGTATTCCGGTGTCCAACACAGTTGTATATCTGCTGGACTCCGACTACCGCCCCGTAAAGAACGGCGAGATCGGTGAAATCTTTGCTTCCGGTTTGAATTTGGCAGCTGGTTACGTTAATGGCAGAGATCCTGAACGTTTCCTGGAGAATCCACTAGCCGTGGAAAAGAGTAAGCTTTTAGGATTTTTATTTAAAAAATCACATTTAACTCGAAACCCCAACAGAATACGCTCGTCTTTATCGCACTGGTGACTACGGTTCCCTCAAAAACGGAAGCATCATGTACGAAGGTCGTACCGATTCCCAGGTTAAGATCCGTGGCCATCGGGTGGATCTCTCCGAGGTGGAAAAGAATGTGGCTGAATTGCCGCTGGTGGAGAAGGCCATTGTTCTGTGCTACCATGCCGGCCACGGAGACCAGGCCATTCTGGCCTTTGTCAAGCTACGCGACGATGCCCCCATGGTCACCGAGATGCAGTTGGAGGCCCGGCTCAAGGATAAGCTGGCTGACTACATGACGCCTCAGGTGATAATTCTGGAGCATGTGCCGTTGCTAGTGAACGGAAAGGTGGATCGTCAGGCCCTGCTCAAGTCCTACGAGACAGCCAACAACAACGAGGGTGACTCCAGCATCGTGCTGGACTTTGACTACTCCCAAGTGCCCGAGGAGCTGAAGCTAACGGCGCGGGATCTCTTTGAGACCGTGGGCGGAGTTATTGGACGTTCCACGCGGGCCACCCTGGCTCCGCAGAACAACTTCTATGAGCTGGGAGGCAATTCCCTGAACTCCATATTCACGGTGACTCTGCTGCGCGAAAAGGGCTACAACATTGGCATATCCGAGTTTATTGCGGCCAAGAACCTGGGCGAGATTATCGAGAAGATGGCGGCCAATCATGATGCAGTGCAGCTGGAAGAAGAGTCTCTGAACGCTTGTCCCCACTTGAAAATGGAGGCAGTGCCTCTTCGTCTAGAGCACCGTCAAGAAGTTATCGAGTAAGTGGCTGTTTTCTATAAATCTTAATGAAAACTAAAATTAATAATATTTATTTTTTAAAAGCATTATTGTGGCCAGTTTTTATAACAAGGCAGATCTGGAACAGTGGCTGAAACCTGGAGTACTGCGAAACGACTACAGCGACATCCTGAACGTGAGTGACTTCTTATCCTCCATTCAGTAGAAAATCTATAAAATTTGTTTATCCTCCCACAGGACATCTGGAACGTATTAGTGGAGCGGGACCTGAGCTTTGTGGTCTACGATCGCAACACGGATCGGATTATCGGCACAGCATTGAACTTCGATGCTCGCAACGAACCCGAAGTGGACATCAAGTCCAAGCTCCTCATCGTGTTTGAATTCCTCGAGTTTTGCGAGGGTCCCATCCGGTAAGTCTGGTCTCCTGAGTTCCTTCCAGGACAACCCTCTTACCATTCCATTTCCAATCATCAGGGACAACTATCTGCCCAAGGGCCTGAACCAGATCCTACACTCGTTCATGATGGGCACCGCTGAGAAACTGAATCCCCGCGAGAACATCGCCTGCATGCACTTCATGGAGCACGAGGTACTGCGGGTGGCACGCGAGAAGCAGTTCGCCGGCATCTTCACCACCAACACCAGTCCTCTGACACAGCAGCTGGCCGATGTCTACCATTACAAGACGCTCCTCAACTTCCAGGTGAACGAGTACGTGCACTCCGACGGCACCCGACCGTTCGGGGATGCGCCGGACGAGCAGCGAGCCATTGTCCACTGGAAGGAGGTGGGCAAGTAGGCACCGCCCCAAGCGCCCGTCATTAAATCCAGATCTGCAGCGAATTTAGCCCACACCACGTATTATATTTAACTACCGTAGCATAAGCACTAGTATTATCCTTAGGCAGTAGAGTAAACTTAGCGAGAAGTTTCACAAGTTTGTGTTGACTAGTTGTAAGCATTCGAATACCCGATTCACAAAAATTAAAGAAACATCGATCGAATAATATTCATTTTTATTCAAATAATTAAATGCGCCAATTATGTTTTTGGTCAATATAAATACAAGTTTATTCGGATATTCAAAGAGACAAATATTTTTTTGTGTCGATTACAATTCTGGGGAAAACAAACCACTCGAATTCTTGAAGTTCACGGGAGTTGGAGGTTGGAGAACAGATTAATAGGTGACATGACCATAACACACTATTCGAAAAAAACACCCATAAAAGCGAACAACGATTTTAACATTAAAGCCATAAATATATATGCTATGTTTATTGTTTGCCTATTACACTTTTCAAAATTTAAGTTAATTTTTATTGTGGTTGCTCTGATGCTGCGCCTCATAATATATATATGTCGTATAACTATATATTTTCTTGGGACTTCTGGTGAATAACGAGCGCCAAACAGCCACTCTAAATTTTATTCTGTTTGGAAAGTTAATTACACACTTTTACTCGACAATAATTACATAATGCTAGAAATATATATATATGTATAGGTATGCAGATTTAAGGTGCATGAGTGTGCGACCGAACGTACGTTCACTTCTGGCCCATCTGACTTTTCCAACAGATCTCCGGTGAAGCGTTCAGTCAGCCGTGAACATGGATGGTGTGTTTAATGAATGTGTGTCCATTGTGTTGTTTTTTTTTTTGCCGATTTAAGGTTTCTGTTTCTTTTCCTGTTGTGTGAACGGGGGGCATGTCTGCTAAATATTTTAAGCACTAGCTTGACTACGTACTAAACAACTGTACATCTAATATACCTTAATTATTTTATAGTTTCATTATTTCCAGCTCTTCTTAGACTGCTGTGCTGAGGCCAGGAAAAGGGGGAGAGGGTTTCATTATCTGTTAGTTAGTAGCCTAATTAGGGGCGGCGACAGAACGCTGCCCGTGCAGAACGGATGACAAATCAAACACTATAATCCATATACGCATGTTCAGCTTCAGCCTGGCTGTTAGTGGTCATTCACTTGGTGCTGCGAACTATGCGTATGACCCTCGTGGACTAGGAGGCAGCACTCTGGTCCTGCAGCCTGTAGTTCTGGAATGTCTTCCATTCACCGGTGTTATAGTCCAACCGAATGTGCGACTCCACTAGGCACAGTGCCGTGTTGCCATCATCCTGTTGCACTTTTTCCTAAAATTAATGGATAATTAATAATCATAATTCTTTTAATATGATTTTAATTAAAAACTTACCTCTGTTTCACCCAATTTAATGACCAGAACGTTTTCGCTGTTTGGACGAGGGTTCTCACGCAAGCCCGCCATAAAACCAAGAATAAGAGCCTTGTCTGGTCGAGAGACCCGGTTCGCTTTACGGAACATTTCATGCGCCTTATGCACATGCTCGTTCTACAAAAGAGGGACGGTATTAGAAGATTCCTACATTGGTCATAAAGAAAGCTTATTCCTACCGATAGAGACAGTCCACGTCGCTGAGGTGCCTGCTGCGTGGCTTGCTGCTGTGGTGCCTGCACTTGCACTTGAACAGTGCGCGCAATTCCCGGCTGGCCTTGACCTCCGCTCGTCGTGGAGGTGACCACACGCTGCTGCAGGGTCGAAGCCGGCTTGTGTTGGACCAGCTGAATCTGTTGCTGCTGCTGGCGCGGCTGCTGTTGAGACGCCGGTGCCGCTGGGCTCGATTGGGTAATAATCGTGCGCTGCGTGCTGCCCGGCGCCGCCTGCACCTGCACCAGCTGCGGCTGCTGGCCCGGCCGTTGGATGAGCGTCAGGCCCTGCGGCAGCGTGGTCAAGCCTCCGCCAACGCTGGTCATTACTGGCCGAATGATGGTCTGCTGTGGGGACTGAGAAGAAATCGATTAATTTTTTAATCTAACCCAGTATGATTGAATAGCAACTCCAGTGGAGTGATTAGAAAGGACTGCATTACCAATTATACTCCACAATTCGTAGCTAAACTTACATTTCCGATGACATTGGTGGGCTGCTGTTGTTGCACGATGACATGCTGGCCGCCCAGGGAACTGGTCGGTATCAGTGTGGGCAGGATCTGCTGCTTGGCAGGTTGCCCCGCCTGCTGCTGCGCTTGCTGCAATTGCACACCCGTCGATGGCGTGGTCTTTACCAGACTTGGCGGACCAGCCGCCGTGGTGGTCACCAGCGTTGTTCCGGCCCCGAGTCCCTGCAGGTTGCCAACGTTGCTAATCGGTATTTGCTGGTACATGTCGCCGCCAATGTTCCGCAGAATAACACCCTTTTGCGTGAGTATAATGGTCTTGTTTTTGCCGGATGTCGGGGATACATTAACCACTCCTCCGGCTCCCACAGCTCCGCTCGGCTGCATGATGACTTGGGACAACTTCGGCTGCTGCGTGGCCGTCGTGTTGGCCACAATAGTGTGCTGGGGATGGGGCTGGTGCTGCTGTAGTTGCGCCTGCAGGTGCTGCTGTTGGGCTGCCTGAGAGGCCGGCTGAATGGTGACCGGCCGGTTGGGCAGCTGTACGTTCTGTATGTTTAACGTGTTCTGTCCAGGGACCCCCACAGCCGCCGAGGTGGCCACCAAGGGCGGGGGATTTGAGGATACCACGGTGGCGGTCTGCTGCTGCTGCGCTTGACGCAATGGCGTCATAACCACACCTGACCCTCCCGCTGTCTTGAGCAGAATCTTGGTCGGAGCTTGTCCATTTCCACCGGCTGTAGTTGCCTGATAAAGCGTAGTGGTCTGCGGCAAAGGTCGCGCGTGTGTAAACGAGGTCAGAGTCGGCAGCATCGGCTGCTGCTGCACCTGAGGCTGGGCCTGTTGCGGCGCGGCCAGAATATACTGCGTCTGCTGCTGTTGCTGCTGCTGCTGCGGCAGCTGTTGAGTTTGCTGCGGCGTCGGCTGCTGGATGGTTTGCTGCACCAACTGCGGCGGCTGTTGTTGTGGCTGTTGATGCTGCTGGGATGTGGCGGCACCGCTCGAGGTTCCTGCCTGCTGCTGGGCACGCTTTGCGGGCTGAATAATCGTCTGGGATATAATTACTGGACCACTGTTGGTGGCCGTTTTCAGCTGGCTGAGCGGCATCGTTTTGATAGCCTGCGATGGTATTGTAGTGGTGGTACTTCCGGCGGCGCTGCTGCTTGGAGTAGCGAGGGATTTCTGAAAAACAAACCAAATCAAAAACAATACATATTATTTCATTTCCGGCACAACTTACCACTCGCTGGGCGCTGGGAGATGATGCCAGAATGACTGGCGTGGAGCTGTTTATAAGAAGCGGCGGCTGGGACTGCTGAACCTGCACCTGTTGCTGCTGCGTCGCCGCCTGGGCCTGGCTGCTGCTTGCAGCTCCCGAGCTTGATGCTGCCGCCGCAGCCTTCGCCTTTGCCGACGTTATCTTCACCGAGATGTTGTTGGGCAGATGGGCCAGCGGATTGGCCGCCTGGCGCAGTTGTTGCGGGGTGAGGAGGGTGGTGGCTGTACCAGTACTCGTCGATGGCGAACTGCCAGTGGCCCGTAGTATTGGCTTGATGTCCAACTTCTCCATTTTGATGGTCGTGTTGCCCACGGTGGTAGTGGTACCACTGGTAGCTGCGGCGCTGGTGGCGGCGCCATTGTTTTGGCGCTTCTGTGGGGAAGTCCGGATGACCAACTGCGGGGTGCGCTGCGCAGATGCCGGCTGCTGCTGCTGAATAATCACTCGCTGAGGCGTCGACGGGGTGGCCTCTATTTTTTCCAGCTTGATGGTGGCCGGCACTATAATCTCTTCGCTCTTGATTTCAATTTCTTGCTTGATTCGTTTTGGTGTGTGGTTAAAGCTGTTGTTGTTATTGTTGTTGTTGTTAACCTTTGCAGCTGATTTTGGAGTTCGCGGTGTTTTCAGTTTAGCCTCGGCTGTTGGTTTTCCCGGTTGGGTATCTGCCACGGTAGCCTGGGCGAAGTCTAAGGTAGCCGTAGCGTACTCTGGCGTTTCCGTATCGATATCCATGGCCGTTTTGGTCGCCAGCTCTTCATCCAGTTGCTCTTCCACGCTTCCCGAGCTCTGGTTGAGCGTCTGGGGCTCCGTTTTGATCTCGAAACTGTTGTTGGCCGACGTAGGAGTAACAGGTGTTTCGCCTCCACTGCCCGTCGCAGCATCAGTGGGTGAACTGTCACCGGTTGTGGCCGCTGCTGCCGTAGCTGCTGCAGCTGCGGCTGCCGCCGCCTGTTGTTGTTTCTGCTCCTGCTTCTTCTGCTGCTCCTCCAGCTGTTGCTCGCGCTTGCGCTTCTTAGCCGCGGCATAGCCCAGGGGTTGCTCCGTGAACTCGATTAGCTTTATGCCACCGTCCTTGCGTCCGGCCGGAGTGCGACTGAGATTGGGTCGCTGCGCGGCGTTGCCCGGTGTGGTGGCCGAGCGAAAACCACCTGTCGTGGGCATGCGCGAGGGAATTCCTTTCAACGGCGTGGTGTCGGTCATCTTGCGGGGCATACCACGCGACCGCAAAGGAATCGTTGGCGCCGAAGCCTTCTTCAAAGAGGACTGCGCATCTGCGGACTTGTGCAGCAGTTCAGTGCGCAGCTGGGCGCTCTTAGGTTTACGCTTCAGCGTGAAATGCTTGACGGGAGCCGGTTGCTGGCCCACCTGGAATAGTTAAGATAATTCATGATTCGTATGGCTTATCAGTATAGATGCGACTATTTACATACCACTGAGATCAACGCATTCTTATTCAAATATTGGCACTCCAAGGGCAGCATGCCCAGGTCCGAGTGCTTGGTGACCAGCTTGCGCAAATCATTGACCATGTCGGTGAATATGGGACGTGTGTCCTCGTAGTCGGAGATCTCTGTGTTTAGCGAGCTGGTGGCCGGAAAAGTCTTCATGGTCTCAGCCAGCATAGAGACCCACAGCTCCGAGTCCATACCGGCCACTTCGATTACTTCTTCTAGCTCTGCCTTCCACTGAAAAAAACGAAAATACGAAATTTGTGTTTCAGTGTACAATCAAAATTAGAAAATCGAGAGTAACCAATATGTGTGGTGGCATCGAAGGGGTTAACAATTAACAACAAATAAACGAATGAACCCCAACCACCCACACACCTACACTCGCGAGAGAGAGAGATGGCTAAAAAGAGAGAAATGTGTACACAAAAGTGGAAGTGGCGGGAAACGTCGCTAATATTTATTTTCATCGCTCGGATCAAACAACTAGCGATTGTCACACAAAAATGTGATTAAGTGTCTCGGACACGGTGGAAACAATTGGTTTTAACACGTTTCATGAATTTTCAAAACATTTCATGCGCCTTATTTCACCAGCGAGTGAGCGGTAGCGCAGCAAGTGTACGCATGTGTGCGTGTGTATGTGTGGCCTGGTGTACTTTTTTCGTGCCCGTACACGACAAACGCCACTAGATTTACATACCTCTTCCACCAGACGGCGGGGAATGTGTAGGAAGCTGAGCAGGAGCTTCAGCTTCACCTGCGTCTGAAGATCGGGGAAGCATTCCTTGATGTTGCGCAGCACCTCCTTGTTCAATTGCGAGCAGATGGAGCCGTTTATCCACGAGTCGTTCGAGGTGCCCAGTTTATTATGCAGCCACAGTGATGTGTCGCTGTCCCTTACGTTCGCCATTTTTGTCGTACACGCCTCTTCGCACGCCACACGACACAGCAAGCACAGCTATTAGCGCCAATCGGTGACCGCCCACTTTCACGGCACGATCTAGTTGCCTTTTTGCACTTTCAGGCTCGCGAAACGTCAACAAAACACACGAAAAATCCTCGAAAAATTTTAGTAGGTGGAAACGCACACACATCAAAAACTAGAGGTGGTGCTCACGAAACATCGATGGAATTATCGATATATCGATACATTTTGCTACATCCCACTAGGTCTCTCTTTGGGAATGGGAATCTCCGAATGGGAACCGGGAATTAGGGTGGAAATATATTTTAACTTAATTTCTTTTATTTAAACTGAGCATTTTAAATTCGCAGCTGCATTTTGTTACACATAGTTTTCCTTAGTAGCATGCCTTTTATAAAACAATTTCAGAAACTGCTAGAAATTTAGGAAACCCTGGCTTACTGCAACTGAACCGAATTTCAACCACTCGCTGTCCAACACTGGTCCGAACAAAAACAATTCAAGACGTTCGGAAAAAAGAATTTTGTTTTGGGAGTTTTTCAGCTGGGTCTGTTTTTGCGATCCTTCGGCATGGCCTGGCGTTCGGTGGGAACCAGCAACCAGGATCTCATCCGGCAATTAAAGGGTGCGCTTGACCCTTTGGCAAGGTAGCTTGATAAATATTAATTGCCTCGAATCTCTTCAGAGAACGGCGTAATTGCAAGTGATGCAGTGGCCAATGCGATGGCAGCGACGGACCGCAAACATTACTCTCCCCGGAACCCCTATATGGATGCTCCCCAGCCCATTGGCGGAGGTGTCACCATCAGTGCTCCTCACATGGTAACCAGGCGTCGGGGGCTAGGCCAAAACAGACACATATTTTGCCAAGAATTTTCAACGTTTAGCTAAAATAATCTTAAATTTATTTACATAAGCCGTTTGACCATGTTAGTTTCTCATAACTCATCCAAAAACAATTTCAAAAACAGCTTTTCCCTATTCATTAAGGAGTATTTTATAATTTCCCACAGTTTCTGTTCAGAGAGCTACAAATCCAGATGTTTCATTAATTTATGCACCCACACTAACATATTTATTTTATTCAGCACGCTTTTGCGTTGGAATACCTGCGCGATCACCTCAAGCCGGGCGCCCATGTCCTGGACGTTGGCTCCGGGTCTGGATACCTAACAGCTTGCTTCTATCGCTTTATTAAGGCGAAGGGCACACATGAAGACACCCGGATTGTGGGTATAGAACACCAGGCGGATTTGGTGAAAATGAGCAAAGCCAATCTGAACGCGGACGATCGGGAGATTCTCAGCTGCGGCCAGCTTGAGATTGTACAGGGTGACGGGCGCAAGGGATTCCCGACCAGTGCCCCCTACAATGCCATTCACGTGGGCGCAGCTGCACCGGACACCCCCACCGAGCTGATCAACCAGCTGGCCAATGGCGGTCGCCTCATCGTACCCGTGGGTCCCGACGGTGGTTCACAGTACATGCAACAGGTCAGTAACCCGAAAGTAACTCAAACCAACCTACAATACTACCCAAACTTTACAGTACGACAAGGACTCAAATGGCAAGGTACAGATGACCCGACTCATGGGCGTGATGTACGTTCCTCTAACGGATCTCCGCTCCTGACTGCACCGGGCTATCAAGGCGCTGGTTGTGGTGCTTCTGCTCGGTTTAGTCCTCTATCGATGCTGGGCCTACTACCGCTAATAATTAGTATTATTAATACCCAAATAGCCACAAAATTTATGTGCTTCATATCGCATTGATTTTAATTAAAATTATTTCCTGAACATCCACAATTACAGTGATGCACTATGGTTGGATTTAGGGTTTTTAAACCCACTCGTACTAGGCCAGTTTCTCAATATCATTAGACATTAATGTCAAAGTCAAATTCGAAGTTATTTTGTTGTGAAATTCCTACAGGGGCAGAATTCACAAGGAACTCGACGAGACTCCAGCGATTTCAAAATAATATAAAAAGAAAAACGGAAGTAATTCGCAATATACGAAGACTTTGTTAAAGCATTATGTCGCGAAAATTCAAATGGCGCTTCAAAGTTCAAAAAATAAAAACTTTTACCGAAGATGTGTTTTACTTGGAGGATATGGATATCGCTATAGGATTACCTTTAACAATTCTTCATTAAGTTAAGGAATGCTTCAAAATGAGTAACTTATAACCAAGAAAATTGGGTCCCACTTTTGAAAAACTCCGCCAGAACTAATTTAAATCGATAAATAACGGAAACAATATGAGTTATCGAATCATCGGCCATCCCTAGCTTCCTGGCAGTTTAAAATGTAAAAAAGATCGCCGGAAATGAACAGCCCTCATTTTCCAACATTTGACGAAAACTTCTGCAAGAAATTGGTGTCTCGGAAATCCCTGGAGGCTATTTGCATGGCCAGCACGGGGCGGAAGTTAGACGACAAAGTGGCCAAGTGGCTATCTCTAAAAGCAAAGGAAAAAATGGAAAAATTATTGAATGAGGCGGGAAAAGTTTCACGGCGCAGCCGGGATTCCCAGATGAAAGTATCCCACCTCCAATATGCTGTCCGAACAGATGAAAACCTGCCTGCCAATATTTTCTTTAGGCTTGTGCCTGTGAGACGAAACTTGCCAAGAACTGAGAAGCAGCGCTCCCGAAGGAACCTGGTTCCGGTTCCAGAGCCTATTTCTAACAGGCGTGCACTTGTTTCTGTAGATCATCGTGCGCAAGTTACCCCTTCCATGGCGGGTTTGCTGAGGAAGAAGCAGGTGCTCCTTAAGCCTTGTGGGATCTATACTTTGACAAAAGAACAGCAGAACTTTTACGAGTTGATTACAAACGTCGGTGTGAGTTATTCAGAAATCCGTCGAAAGCTTGTCTTTCGCGCCATGTCCAAGGATCCTTCAATGGAAGTGCTGCTGCCCTCGCTGAGCCAGTTTATTTCAGAATCTACTGTTTGTAATATAGGTAACAAAAAGGTGCACATGCTGCTCTATACGATGCGAATGGTGCGAGCTCTTATTAGAAATCCGCGTTGTAGCTTATACAAATACGTAAGCGCAGGCACTTGGCCTGGAATGAACTTTTGAAAAACATATTCTTTATGTACAGCTCCACAAGATCCTTCCGGCTGTTTTGTCCTGCCTGTTGGTCAAAGACCACGGTCGCGAAAGCAAGGAACATTGGGCTCTAAGGGAGTACTCCGGCAATATAATGGCCGAAATTGTACGGACCTTTGGGTCGACTGATAGCAGTATCCTTTCTAGAGTTCTTTCGTAAGTAAATGGGTTTTTTTGTTTATGTCAAAAAGAAGTTAAGTCTGGTACTTTTTTTGCAGTGTCTATAAGCGGGCTCTTACCATGGAACCACTTACTACGGTGTTTGGAGCCGTGATTGGTCTTGGTAAGTTGGGTAACTATGCAGTGCGGGCCTGCCTTGTTCCTCAGATAGCCTACTTGTCACGGCGTATTGACCCGTATTTGGCGACCAGTGCCGACACCACCAGTTCCGAGCTGGACAAGCAGGCCTCCAAGTATATTCGACATCGCTTGGTGAAGGTATGCACTCCAGTTATAAAGAACGTACACAGTGTCCCAGGTGTGGTAGAGGAATTTATCGCCGCCTATGGTTCCCTAGGAGAACCATTGTGCCACGCCGTTACTGTGTCTCGAGTTAAGGATATGGTTACAATCCAAAAAAGGGGGGAAAAACACAAAGTGGCCAAGGTAAAAAAAATATCCTGGAAATTGGTACAAAAACTGTCCAAGAAATTGGCAAAAAAACTTTACAAAAACTCTTCCTTCGAACTGTTAAAGAAGCGGCGCAAGAAACCGTCCAAGGAACTGTCCAAGAAACTTACTAAGAAACCTGAGAATCTGCCGGAAAAACCGTCCAAGGAACTATTTAAGAAACCGTCCAAGCAACTGTCTAAAGAATCGTCTCAGAAACTGTCCAAGATAACTTCACCCTCGAAAAAAAAATCAATAAAAACCACAAGAACTTCTCCATCGTGTATTCTTCAAAAGCGAAAATCCAGTGAGCCACCAGATTGTATTTCTCCCAAAAAGAAAATGAATGGCACGGGTTTTGAGTTACCAAGCGTTTTGTTTTCCAAACCACTATCCCCATTACCAAAAGCCGATGTATTGAAAATGTTGAACCTTTCGCAGTGTATCAGAGATACGCGGCCATTCCTATTCCGAGTCTTGCTGACGACTACTGGGATTTTCGATTTTAGATAATAATGACTTCTTTAACCATAAGATGAAAAGAGTAGTATAATTAAGAGTCTTAATTAAGTAGTATAGGTATATAAACAGTAGATTAATTTTTAGAATAAGCTAAAAATGTGTATTCCACACTTATTTTTTATGTACAGAACACTTAAAAAAAATAGAGGTTTTTAAAAAGCGCGCCCTTATCTCCAACCGGAAATAGTATTTTTTGCAGTGTGCAAACATACTTCAGTACCGTTCACCTGGCATGCTGGTATATTTTATAGGGTCAGACACGGTCTCACCGGCGAATGTGTATGTTTTTTTTTGGCCTCTTCAATAAATTAAAAAAACGGAAAAGCGGAGCTTCTGAGATCTCTGAATTCGCATTTAGGATGTTCGGACTGTACAAAGCCACAGCAATTTGATACAGGAAGCAAGGTAAAAGGCAGTTGTAACTCAAAACTAGAAACCGACAACGACAACACAGAACGCCTTGTGCGCAGTATAGTCTCTGCCTGTGTATTGGTGTGCGTCTCGTCTGGTCGCGTGTGTGCGGGTGTGTGTGTGTGTGCGGCAATTAAACAATATGAAGTGACGGACATGGCGGGGAGGGTGGCGCAATGTTGAAGAACGGGGTGGAGGTACCCCCCCAGTACAGTGTCTACTGTTGGGCGTGGATTTTAGTTGGTCTCATTAAAGTAAGCGAAGCGCGAAATTGGGTTCAAGTTGTGGTAGGTGGCAGTTGGTGTTTGCCACTTTTTTTCAGGTGTCTCGACGGCAGGTGTAACTCAATAGCTCCCGTCTATCGCTTCGTGCTTTCCAGCCAGTTTGCGAAACTCGCTTCGACCCTCCGGCAGTCTTTCAGCCAATTGGTTATTTGGGAATTACTAGACATCGTATTTCGTGCGTAGAGTCGAAAAAATCAAATTCAATAAACATTTGTTTACATCTGGGGACTGGACTGGCTTCTGTATCTGACTGGAATTCAAAAAATCTCACCATTACACATGCGCGAGTGTATTTTCAATTAGATCATTAATTTTAATATTGCGCGCGCTTGTGCGATTTCAATTAGTTTGGTCAGCCAGTGAGTGGATTCGCAACCCGTTCCTGCTCATACTCTCACAAAGGAATACCCCATTGTTCTAAAAAGTATCTTTTGTTGAAACTATCTTGCAGCTTATTCAGTTCCAATCAGACATGGATGCCATACTAGGGTGAACCAAGGTGAACCACCATGCCCATGACTCTGCCAGCCACCTCGGCGGGCGCGACTACCGCTCCTGCTGCGACGCCTGCCGCTGCCACACTCTCTATAGCTAGTGGCACCCAGATGTTGCGTCCCCAGACCCTGGCCGGACCCGAGCGGGAGCCCATCGAGTTCAACATCAACCTGGTCGGTGCTCCGCCCGAAGTCGAGCAGCTGGTGGAGCAGATCAAAAGCGTGGCTGAGCAATTCCTTTACCACTGGAAGAGTTTCCCCATCGGTGAGTGACAGCTGCCAAGTGCGTTCAAGTAACTAATCACTCTCAATTCGCAATCCTCAGCTCTGCCCCAGCCTCTGGCCGCCAGCGGGCTGAATCTGACGGCCAGCAATGCGACGAACAGCGTGAGCAGCCGCAAGACGCGGCCCATCAATTTGCGGGACCTGTTCATAGCTCCTCCGTTCGACGAGCTGGATGCGGTGGCCTCCGACGGGAGCGGAGAACCCCGCCGGCTGACGAGCGTCCAACTGAAGACGCTGCGGGAAACTGGGTGAGTTAGTGGTCACGAGACCGAGAGCTGTTCGCTGTGAAGACGGATGGATTGATGGATGAGTGAATGATGGTTGATGGATGATGGATGGAGCGACATGCAATTGCTAGCCTAATAATCTAAAAAAAATAAAAAATATGCAGCAAGCAGTTAACAGCTTTCTGACTAACTGCGCTTGTGCCACCTCCCCCCAAACCCGAAAGTGATTTCTTGAGTTATTTTGAGTTCCTTCTGACCATTCTCTATCATTCCTTGACACTTTGCACTCTGCAAACGCAAACGATCAAATTAATGGCATGCTCCAAATCTAATCAAAAATCTAAAATCAAAGGCCAGCTATTCAAAGCTATCGGTTATCCACGTATTTGTTTAAACTTTAAAACTAATCGCATGCCACACCACTGTTTTTATTATTTCTGTACCATCATCTGACAATAAAACATGATACGGTAAACAACAATTTGTATGTGAAATATTTCTGTAAAGCTTGCAAAAGGATAAATATGGAAAGCCGAAGAAATTAACTTTGGAACAATTGGAAACAATACGTAAAAATGGGTAAATAAACACATTCAAACATTCAACCAAAAAGGCGATCGATCCACGATGGCCAAGGCAACTTAGCAGTTGCCAATGCATCAATGCTGTTTAGTCGGTGTTCTTCTGTTCTGTACATACATTATCTTCTCATTTATTGAATGTTAATTGTTTATGCATTAAGTCATTGTCTAAAGTTGCTCTCTAAAAATGTTGCATGCCCGTTAAATTGAAACGAAAGTTCAAAGGCGAAAGTGCATGAAATAAACCAAAAATAGTCATAAAAAGATTAGAGACTACTCTGTTATCTTTAAGAAGTACATCTAGAAGACAACTGCTGTTGAATAATCCCTATAACACCCACATATCGACACCTGCAATCTTGAATCAGGCAACCCATTATTATGAATCTGGTACACGCTTGTGCATGCCGACAATTTTTCATTGAATCTAGTTCATTTATGTGTTTTATGTTGCCTCGATCTTTGCCAAATCACAAACTATCAAAGCTAACTCTTAGTCCCGATCCTCCACAGCGAATTCGATGTGCCCAGTCTGCATTTTCCGGGTCAGGTGCACAAGTGGCGTCTGTCGCAGTTGCTGCAGAAGGGAAAGCTACGCGCCCACGACTCCTTTCTGAGCGACTTGGCTTTGGCAGCCCGTTTTGTGGTGGTCACTGCCCGGGCTCGGATCTTTTCACACTTCTTCTCCATCGTCCATGCGGTGCACGGACTGCTGGGAGCGTTCACCAAACTGGCGGATATGTTCATCGGCGTGCCGGCTCTTCTGGCCCACAATCTGGACTACAAGATCAAGGAAGAGCGCTGCCGGTTTCTCATCGCCGAGTTAGTGTGTCGGGTAATACAAATCTCTTCTAGCTCTTTAAATATTCTATCGATTATAGCGAACCTTTGTATTTCAGCCCGAGTTCGAAGACTGCCTGGATGGCCTCTGTTCGTATGTCCGGAAAATGCTGCGACGCGCCACGATGGAGAAGTTCGACTTCAACAGCTGTGAAGTGAGCCAGCCTGTGCCATATCAGTTTCTCACTCCAAAGGGCCAGGAGATCGACCTGCGTCTCTTCTGCCGCGACATCATGCGTAAGGCACTCCCCATTCTCATCGGCATCCTGGAACGGGAGACGCGAGGCTGGTTCCTGCACTTTCGCGAACGTTTGATTGCCGAACTGCGGGCCAAGAAGTTGAATGACAAGGAAATAGAGGAGGAGGTGAACGAGGCGGTGATGCGGGAGTATCTGCAGCGGGTCTACAGCTCCATCATAACCAATGCCAAGCTGGCGGAGCTAGGCGCTGGGGTTCCCGAGCTGCTTGTGCAGCAGGCTCAGTCGGTGGTGATCATGTACAAGGCTGTGGACAAGGTGCAGCAGGATGTGAAGCGGACGCGCGAGGACCACCAGAAGTGCCTGTCCAATGACCACTCGGTTCTCTCGCGAGTCTCGCCCTGGCTGCGTTCCAAGCTGCGGCGTGCCGAGGAGTCCAGGATGTACAAGTGCGCCTGGTCGGCCCACGAGGAGGCACTAAAGATGTGTGCCCAGCACAACCTACACCAAACTGCCTACTTTCTGTCCCGAGATCTAGCATTCATGAAGGAGCGCGAACCCGTTCTGCTGAAGGAGCTGAAGAATGCCAAGACACCCACGCGCAGTTTCCAATGGGCGTGTCGCATCTGGTCGCCGCAGTCGTGGATTATTCGTCGCAACTTCCAGGGCCAGTCGGACGTTATTCCCACAGTCATCAGCCAGCAAGCCACCAGCATCGTTACCCCGCGCTCCGATCCCAGCCAGCCAGTGTTCTTGGTTGAAAAGGAAGTCATCCGGACCACCAGCACTCGCTGGCCTTTCTGGCGACTCCTCAACATGGTCCAGCGTATCTGGTGCTGGTCCTGGAATATGATGTATCTTCTCGGAATTCTTGTACCATGGTGTAGCCCCCTGGGATTGAGAGCCCTGTGCTGCGTAAAGCCCTTTATGCCGGACCTCGAGCTCTCGCAGATCAACGGCACCCTCTTCCCTCGAAAGACCAGCATCACCCAAACAATGGCCTCGCGCCTAATCGAGCTATGGCGGCACATATCAAAGTCGCGCACACATTTCGAAACGGAACCAGACACAGGTAAGATTTATTTGTTTAATTTAAATTCTATACTTAATAATTAACTTTTTATATTTAGGATTTATTGGGAAAGGACTGACTCGCAACCTAAATCGAACTTGGAACTACTTTGTAAAAGGATTTCTGGGGACTGTTGTAATACTGTTCGCTTTTCCGCTAATTTGTCTGGCCACCAGTTTCCTAAGCATCGGCTTGGCTGTCACAGCTCCGCTCTGGATTCCTGTCTTCGTTCTACTGCTGCACATTTACATGATACTCATTTACGACCTGGACGCACCGGATAACACAAAGAATCGCTACTGTATTCTGTTAGAGGCTTTAATTTGGAACCTTCTGATTCAGGGCTTGCTGCAGCCTCTTGCTGCGGTGTTGGTGGCCACATTGATCTGTCCACTGGCCGCCGGAGTCGTGTTTATAGGTAAAGTACCTTCTATTATCGGTTTAACTATCAGTCTAATTATTAATTATCTTTTGAAAGTTGGCGTCGTCCGTTATTCCCTCCGCCTGGTATGGGACTCCCTTACATACCATCTTTTTATCAAAAAGTGTGGACGAGTGCCGGCCTCGGATAGCATTGCAGTAAAGCGGATCGCTGGACCAGGACTAGCTCTAGACTACTACTTTATCATTCGACCAGAGCAGGCTTTGGCGGCACTAGAGGCTAAAATGGAACTGGACGAGCTGCAGGCCTACCAGCATGCTACCGAGCGCGTAGTTCTTCAGCCTCAACAGGACTTCCTGCAGTTTGTGGAAGCCTGCTTTGGGCCCTTCTCCGCGCAGATCAGTAAAACTGGCCCTTACTTGTCTCTGGACCGCGAGGCGCAGGATCTGATGAGCACATTGCACGAGAAGCTGGAAAAGCGGCGAAGGGAACTTCAGACGGCTCTGACCACTCAGGTTAAGTCACGGATCAAGTTAAATACCAAAGAATTGAAGGTATGAATGGATAATGAAGTTCTATATAAGAACAATATTTAATTATTTGATTTGATTTGAAGATTGCTATACAACTGGCCGCCCATATTTTAGAGAAATATTATCCGTCTCATGTCATCGGCAGACTGTCGATAAGCGAAGAAGAATTTTGGGATAATAAAGTAAGATACATTCTAAATGTAAAGGATCTAGCTTTATTAAGAACTATACTTTTAGGGTCTCACGGTGAACGACTGGCCGGGATTGGCTGGGCTCCTGTACACCGACATATTTAGTTTAGATTTTCTAACGCCACTGACTGAACACGATACACACTTTAAACTCGAACCACATGCCTCGCTGGATCTGATGAGATATACCGAAATGGTAAAGAACGCCACCGATGTGATAGGCTCCAAGGGCCTGGACCTGTTGGGTAACGTGTACGCGCCGCGTGGCAATGTCCAGGTCCATCTGCCCTTCCTGGAGGTGACCGCTTTCAATCCCCGCTCCCGCATAACGCTCACCTTCCGCAAACCGGAGAAGCGGTAAGTTCTTTACTTGATAATTTCTTTATATCATCTTAAAACATGATTGTCTTTCAGGGACATGTCTGTGGGACTAACCACTCCAAGGGTGCGAGCCCATCGCGCCCAACAAGTGCCGAAGACGCCGCAGGAGGCCCAGAAGCCATGGCGGCCATGGAAGCAACAATGCACTGAAAAGAGCGTGACCGAGAAACTGCTCATACCGCTGCCTGTGCCACATCCCGTGCACATAGCCATTGCCATCTACAATCGCGACACTGAACAACCCATTCCTCTGGACTCGGAACTGGTCTGGGAGATTCTCAAGTCTATTGAGGACTGCCAAGGCGGAGATGCAATGGTAAGAAATCATAGCACTATAAAGATTTTGTTTTTAATACAAACCCTTGCTTTTAAACAGGCTGTCCAGGCTGTGTCGCGTTATCGAGGAGCAGTTATCGAGTCCAGCAACGATTCCCTGGCTAGCAGCAGTAGCATTGGCAGTACTAGGGAATCTGGCTCCGGCTCGGTGTCAGGATCGGCTTTAGGAAACGGCACAGAAACATTGCCGTGCGGTAATCGAGAGGTAAGCAATGGTTAAAGATTCTTTATACAAATTTTATAAGCCTCTTTTTCGTGACAGGTTTGCACTCAGGTGAAAGTGGACGCTGAACCGGCAACTAACTCCTCCGGCTTCCATTGGACTCTAAGCAATTGGGGTGCTGCGCAAACATCGCGTCGTCGCACCAACTCCAACGTGCGCGTGGATCTCGCCAGCCCCGAGGATATATCCCTGGACACGGATAGTTCGCGTGCTGTCTTCAACAACGCCTATGGCACAACTGTCTAAAAGGCTCTCAGTGGTTCGGGCACACAATTATGTATCGCATTAACCTATATACACATGTAGATTTATGCGTGGCTGCTTGCTTTTAACAAAGGAAATGCATAATCCTATTTTATCAAATCAAATCTCGAATATCCTGTGTTAGAAGATCGTTAAGGATTGTTTCCCATTTACAAAAAAAGAAAGCTGCCTAGCGTTGCACATTTGCCAGTGAAATAATTGCCTCACCGTTTTAATTGCAACCAAGAAACAATCTAATCTTAGTTCTGATGAGACATCCCACGCAGCCGCGCTAGTTAAAGTGTAATATGAACAAATTTATCCATCTAACTATATTTATATACGATATACAAATATGATTCGTTAGAATACACAAATCGAAATGCAACAATCTTCAATCTAGTCGCAAATTTTATGCAGCAATCGAATTCGATTTCTTGAAAATGGCAGCTCCATGACAACTATCGTTTGTGCTGATTTTACTTTGGCTATCATTTTAATGACTAAAACTACAAACTTACTCTAGAGTATACAATAAAATGCCATGAGATTTTTCTTTGTACCTAACCAATACAAAACCATTTATGTTAAACACATTAAGAGCAACAAATTTGTATTATAAATATGCCACGAATTGTAATATGTGCAGTTAAACAAATATTGTTAATTAATTACTAATTTATTTATAAAACTCAAACACTCTGAATACTAAAGTTTTATCAACTTCAAACGTTTTCTTCCAAATACTAAATGCAAAATATTAAAATAGTGAGAGGAAATCCTCTTGCATCTCAATTGTGAATTAAAAAAAAAAAGATATAAACAACAGCATTAAACAAAGGCAGCATAAAGAATTTTACAAGGAATAAATAGGTCAAAGGATAAAACACATTTTACATTTATATATGGATATATAGAGATCATATAATCATAAATTATACCTGTTGACGCGTTTGTATCTGCCATCTTTCCAAATCAGCTGTTTAGCCGTGTATTCCATCCCCAATCTCAATCTCCCTCCAAGTATTTTTCAATCTGATTATAATTTTAACTGCCTAAAATCCAAGAGTATTATTTTCTCTACAATCCAAAAACTTTTCCATTAAAAATCTTGATTTTTATATTACTTTGGCAGTTTCCAGTGTTACATTTAGGCCGTTTTTTTTGATTTTGAACAAGGTATTATTGATTTGAAAAATTTTAAATGCAAACACCATTAATGGAATGAATCTTTACATACAAATATACAAACATTTATATAAATATGTAGTTATACAATTTAAACAAAAGCAGAAAATGATAAATCTCAAGAAAATGCATTGAAAAATTTTAAGTAAAATGTTTTCTTAATATTACATACAAAAGATGTAACAATAAATTATGAATGAATGATGTGCTCAGGCAACTTTTGAAATGGAGTACAGTCGCTGGCATTTTCAGAAGCGATTTGTTGAGCTTTAGTCCAACTGGCATTATTTTTAAAGTTGCTCGAGCACTTGTAGTGTAATATTTAATAATAAAAATGTTGGCTAAAAATAATCAAACGAGAGTGTTTTATTCCAAAAGACTGAAAGAGGGGGAATTTGATTTAATCGTCTTTATTTAAAAGTTGTATTTCCGTTTACATGTAAAGATATAAAGTTTCACTTAAAGATAGAGTAGTTCTTCTTAGGATATATCCCCTAAATGTTAGCTTAGAATGAATTTAACCAACAAAACTCGTTCCGAGTACTACTAATAAGTAAACCATTCAGAAATGAAAGCATAGTCAAAATATAAAAGGGTAATCACAATAATTAGTTTTGATTGAAAATCGATTCATCCTTTATTTGAAACTTATTCAAAAAATATTCGTAAAATAATAACAATTAAATAAAATAAACTTAAGACGGCGTAAGGTGTTTTTGCAATTTTGTTTTTTAGGTTTTTAGGTCGCTCGGCGAACATTTTCAAGTTATCTACATAGGTCTAGATTATAGCTTTCAGGTATTACTGAGTGAACGAGAAGAGGTAAGACAAACCCTGGTTAGGGTTTTGAAGAAATGCGCAACACGCCCATTAATTAACATGTTAACAGCCCTAAGTCTCTGAGTGAGTTTACTACATTTTAATGTACTCAGTTGGTTATACATAGTTACAGATTTAGAAGTTTCTCATCCCGCAGGACGTTATTTGAGCAAATTTTAGTTTTTTTTTTGGAATTCGAATCTAATACAGAAAGATTTTTGGGATTGACTTAAATTTTAGCAATAAGGCTAAGGTCCTTTAAGTGATCCATTGAGAATGAGTTGCGAATTGTATATATTATATATGGCGGGTAAAGCCAATACTTTCGTGTTCACATCTATATGGGTGCATAGGGAATGTTTGCCAAAGTTGAGTGGTGCCCCACGCTAGTTTTAATTTATAAATCCTAAAGAGAGCCTCACTGGAACGGCAGGAGATGGTGGGCCGTTGGATTGAGGAGGCCCAGTCGCTGCTTCTGCTTTCGCTGCTCCGTCATGTGATCTTTGAGCTCGTGCAGCTGCGTGGAGAGGTTTTTGATGAGCAGCTGCGTCTCGAGGAGCTGGGCCTGCATGCTGCGAAGCTCGATCTGCTCCCCATCCGCATCCACTGCTGCCAGGGACATGGCTCGCAGGCGAGGGAACCAGTCGAGGATGCCCGCTTTCACCATAGCGTAGACGTAGCTTTCGGGGCCGGTGAACTCGGTAGGGTCCTTGACCTTGACCAGGACTATGAAGTACAGATAGTGCCACATGTTGTGTTCGCTCTTGATGTGCTCCTCAAAGCTGACCGTCTTGTTGTCGAATGCCGACCGATTCAGGGAGCAAATGAAACAAGTTGTCTTAAGGATGGCCTCCTTTTGCTGCTTCTCCGATCTCAGATCGGCGAAGGTGTCGATGATGACACCAAAGATCAGGTTCAGTACAATAATGATGACGATGAAAAAGAAGAGCAGGTCGTAAATTACTCGAGCCACGAATAAACCCTCCTGAAAAATAAAAGAATAAGTTAAGTAAGACGCTCAATGAAGGTCCAGATGGATCACTACCTTGCTGGATGGAGCCCGGAGAATATCGCCAATGCCTCCACCATTTCGCAGGCCCTGGTTCAGGGTGGTTACAATGCACATGACCAAGGAGTCACAGGAACGCTCCTTTACATCTCCGCCGCCACTAGGAGGTGCCACCTGCTGGGCTGCCGGACAATTGCCCAGCTCATCTGGAGCTGAGCACGATTCTCCTGATGGTGGTACGGAAAGGGTCAAGGGCAAAGCTGCCGGAGAGGCGTTATCTTGGTCTTCAAAGTCCACGCTGACCAGGAAATCGTCCTTGAAAAACATGTAGCCAATTATGGAGAAAAGATAGACCAAGATCAGAGCCAAGACGGCGGTCAAAACAATGGAGCGTCCGTTTCGGGTCACCGATCGGATGACATTGACCAGCGTTTCCTCCCGATAGACCACATCAAAGAGCTGGAAATTATAAATGAGATTTGTAACCAGAACTATGCAGGTTAGAAAACTAATACTCACCAATAGGGAATAGAAAAATGGATGAAAGATTAAGCCACAAAAACAAAATGCTATATAAATGCAATGGTATAGTAACTGGAAGTCGGTGATGATCTTGATTAATTGCTTCTCCAGAGTTCCTTTGTTTCCCATTATGCTGACTATGTGAACGCTCTTAAGAGTAACCTGGAAAAAGAATTTACGTATAATTATGGATCCTTTGAGAAAAGTTTAAGGATAACTACCGTGACTACTCCTAAAAGACAGAGCGTAGACTCCGGTCCCAGCAAAAATATGAACCTCAGGATTGCGGAGCCAATAAGCGTTCTTATCCCCGACTCTCGTGGCAACGTTATTACGATGACCAGCGAGAATATCATTATGATCCAAAATAGCAGAGAAATGTGTGAACTAAGTTCTGAAAAGTCATTGGAATTTTAGGTATTTAAACAATGTAATTGTTTCTAATTTCTTACCTGGAACCGTGTTATCGAAGGGATAGAAGAAAGCCACAATCATATTAATGACAACCACACAGTTGAAGAGAATATTGCTCCACAAGGACATATAACTGCTTATCCAAAAGAGTAAAGGTTGACCTGGTATATAAAATAAAAGGATTAGTAAACTCCTAATCATATCCTTGTTAAACATACTTCTTAGTTTCTTTTGCCACTTCATCTCGTTGAACATTTCCTCGGCCTTGTCGAAGAAGTCTGCCACCTTCGAGCCCTGATCATCCCGCTCGGCGGTGTTGAGGATTTTGATTTTGGTGTCCGTCGTCAGGTACTCGCAGATCTCCGGAATGGGAAAGACAATCTGCTCTAAGGTGCGATCATTGCGAACAATCTAGGCATTAAAAGGAAATAATTAATTATTTAAATTCTTAATAAACCTAAGAACTTACCTCAATCTGTGCCGTGTGAGTCGCGTAGTACATCAGAGCCTGACTGGTCTTGGCATCAAAGCTGCCTGACTGGGCGTCCTCGGAGGCCTTTAGCAATCCGGCCAGTTCCTTGTTGTGCTGCGCCAGTTGATGGCAAAGGATGTAGATATTGTGGCCCACCTCCCTTGGACTAACTGTGGCATCGTCATCGTCCGAACCGGCATCCGGCTCGTCGCCATCGTCCTGCTCGTCGATGAGCTCCTCCTGGTGGTATGCCTTGCAGGCCACTTCCACCAGCTGCTTGGGATTCATGTTGTACAAGATTCGCTCAGCATTTTCGCTGTCGCCTCGACTCTCCATGATGGCCAACAGCAATTTCGAGGCATTGTTTTTCAACTCCAGCACTAGATCCATGCGGTTCTCGCCCAAGGGATTGATGTTGTTCAATATCAGAGCTGTGATGATGTCCAAGCCATTCGATTCGTGGGTGGCGATGCAGTTCTGATTTTCGTGGCAGGGACCCTGGCAGTATTCTGTAAGGGTTTCCAAAGTCTGGTTAATCAGCGCCACGTTGTGCTCGTTGATATACAGGCCGAGGAGCCCCAGACCACCAGTGGTGGAGCCACAGATGCAGTCCAGGAACATGAGGGTCTCCGACACCAAGTTGTTGTTGGTCTTGTTGTTCTGGTTTCGCAACAGATTCTGCATATCCGGATTATGATTCTCGCAGAGAAGCTGCAGGAATCGCAAGATGGGCTGCATCACCAAAACCTTGTTGGATAGCTGGTTTCTTTGCTCCTTGCTGTCCTTGTGCTTTTCCAGTTTCTCTGCGAGAATGTCTTCCAACGGATTCACGCTAATTGCAGAGCTCTCCTCCCCGGAGTGGATATTTCGTGCGTTGCCATACGCCCTTGCCGTAGCGAGTCCGGCGTTGTGCAGCTCCCGCTTCAGCTCCTCCGTAATGACCACCCCGTTGCTCTTCAGCCCGTGCTTTCGGGATATCTTGTCCAGCTCTAAATTGGCGTCCTGCTTGTGCTCATGGGCCTTGGCCGCTATATCGGTGGTGTTTACCGTCACCGTGGACTTGATCTCCTGCTGGGCATCTTTCATCTTCTCAAAGAACACCTTGAAGAAGGCCTGGTTGAGGTCATCGCTGAGGAACTTCTGGAACATTCCCTTCTGGATGATTGGATTGCCACCCTCCAGCAAAGCTATGCCCAGTTCCACGGCCTCCACAAAGATGTTTGGCGAATGTACGGATTTTATGACCAGTTCCACCACCAGATCGGAGGCCCCCTCCCTGTCGAGATGGTTCTGCATCTCATGGAGTGTTTTCCCAGCCCTCTGGAGATATTTGGCCCCCGGACCATGGGTCACCAAGTGGTGCTGCTTAGCGGGATCCACCAACGGAGCTACCGCTCGTTGCGGTTGCTCGTCCTCAGGAAGTTTAGGTGCACTTTTGCTTTGGAAGTATCGCAGGAGAAGCGTCTGACGCAGTGCATCGCCCTTTTCACCGTAGTTCACATCAATGGCCATCATCTCTCGAAGTGTTCGCAGAACCTTGACGCACATGCGCTCCTCCTTCTCCTCCAGCAGCTTCTCTGTGTGCTTGATTAGTTTTCGAATAAAGCCACCGCTCTCACATCGTTTTCTGGCTTCTGTACCGGCAGGGAAAAGCAACTCCGAGCGGTATAGGATGTCCACGAGCAGCGACAGCTCCGCTTCCACCACAGGCTTTAGCTGATCCTCCAGCAAAGAGACGATATCCTGCAAGCCCTCTATGATGGACCGATCCCACCGCATCAGGTTAGCTGACTGATGGGCCTCGTACTTGGGCTGCTTAGAGGCCAGCAGCCACTTGGTCGTCTGACGCGTCAGCATGGCTGTCTTGCTGGACATGCTGGCCACCTGCTGCTCCAGCTCCGGCGGCAGGGCAATGCTTCGCATCTTGGCCGACTCTGTCAGTGTCCGGATGCAGTTCTCTACGTTGAAGCGATCTGCCAAGGAAAGCCACCTGCACTGGGTCAGCCGGTGGGCGGCCTGGAGCAGTTGGACAAAGATAATCTGACGGGATTGCACAATGGCACTCTGATCTGAGAAGGGACTGGCAAAAAAGCTGCTCAGAAGATTTGTTACTCCATTGAGAACGTAGGACTGTAGTGTTTTGTTGCTCGCAGCGGCGACATTTGTGATGAGTTGCTGGATGTCCACCAAGAAACTTTTCTCGAAGAGGTTCCACATATGGCCCGAGGCGTAGATCTCCTTCATTTCCACCTCTGTGTCGATGTAGCAATGGTTGAGGAAGTCCACGTAGGCTTCCTTCACCTCCGGCATGCACAGCGGATGGCAGATGATGGTCACGATGTCGTCCAACGACAGAAGATTGTTGCACTTGATCTCCGTGTATACATTCTTGCCCATGGTGCAACATGCCAGGAGCTTCACCAGCTCCACGTGGTACTTCAATGGGCTGTCATCGCTGAGCTTCTCAAGGCGGAGGAGCTGCTGCTGCTGCATCATCTGCACGAAGAGGTTGAAGGAGCTCTTGTCGTTGTAAAATACCAGCACATCCTCGCCGGCGTTAATGAGTTCCTGCATCACCATGTCCTGACAACGACGGATAAACTGATTCTCTGCCCTGACAATCGTCTGGAGAAACTGCAGGTAAGCCACATGCCGACCATGGATCTCGATGCAGTGCACAAAGTGTTGGACAACCTTGTCGGTTACCTCGTTGCACAAGGCTAGGTTATCCTTGAATATGGCGCACACGGTCTTGGCCTCCAGGATCTATCAAGAATTTAAATTTATTGATTTTAGTATTCAGTAATATATTATTGAACAAATGAAGTACTCAGTTTTAGCTTCTATAAAATATTTGGGTTGGATAGCACTAATTAAAGAGCAAAGCATCTAATATTTAGCCTCTAAAGTTGAAGCAAAATAACATAAATAAAATATATTTTATGTAACCTTCTTCCAAGTTATTTTCATAGCAGTTCTCTTTCCTCCCTGGACAAAATTGAAAAAATTTAAACTATACTTTTCCAAATTTTTTAAAATTTACGCCTTTTTGTAAACAAATGTTTTTGGTTTATTAATTATTATAATAAAGAAGAAAAGAAAGCTAACTTCGGGCAGAGCCGAAGTTGATATACCCTTGAATATACCTTGATATACCAAAATCCTGAGACAAAATATTTTTTAGATTTTTGTCCATTTTTCGTGATGGGATCCCTTAAAAATGGGGTTTTCCCCTATAGGGTCAGCAAGGATGGCTATATCTTTCCCAATTTTCATCCGATTCTCAAGCGGAGTACCTTAAACGATTTCTAGATCAATTCTCCACCATTCTGCATCAAAATCCTGAGACAAAATATTTTTTAGATTTTTTGTCCATTTTTCGTGATAAGATCCCTTGAAATGGGGTTTTCCCCTTTAGGGTCCCACTGTGATAGCTATATTTTCGGCAATTCTCATCCGATCCTTAAGCGAAGTACCTTAAACGATTTCTGGGGCGATTGTCCACCATTCTGCATCAAAATCCTGAGACACAATATTTTTTTGATTCTTTGTCCATTTTTCGTGATGGATCCCTTGAAAATGGGGTTTTTCCCTATAGGGTCCACAGCGATAGCTATATCTTCGCCAATTCTCATCCGATTCTCAAGCGGAGTACCTTAAACGATTTCTGGATCGATTCTCCACCATTCTGCATCAAAATCCTGAGACACAATATTTTTTTGATTCTTTGTCTATTTTTCGTGATGGATCCCTTGAAAATGGGGTTTATCCTTATAGGGTCCACAGCGATAGCTATATCTTCGCCAATTCTCATCCGATTCTCAAGCGGAGTACCTTAAACGATTTCTGGATCGATTCTCCACCATTCTGCATCAAAATCCTGAGACAAAATATTTTTTAGATTTTTGTCCATTTTTCGTGATGGGATCCCTTAAAAATGGGGTTTTCCCCTATAGGGTCAGCAAGGATGGCTATATCTTTCCCAATTCTCATCCGATTCTCAAGCGGAGTACCTTAAACGATTTCTAGATCAATTCTCCACCATTCTGCATCAAAATCCTGAGACAAAATATTTTGTACATTTTTTGTCCATTTTTTGTGATGGGATCCTTTGAAATTGGGTTTTCCCCTATAGGGTCCACAAGGATGTCTATATCTTCCCCAATTCTCATCCGATTCTCAAGCGGAGTATCTTAAACGATTTCTGGATCGATTCTCCACCATTCTGCATCAAAATCCTGAGACCAAATATTTTTTTATATTTTTTGTCCATTTTTCGTGGGATCCCTGAAAATGGGGTTTTCCCCTATAGGGTCCACAGCAATAGCTATATCTTTGCCAATTCTCATCCGATTCTCAAGCGGAGTACCTTAAACGATTTCTGGATCGATTCTCCACCATTCTGCATAAAAATCCTGAGACACAATATTTTTTTGATTCTTTGTCCATTTTTCGTGATGGATCCCTTGAAAATGGGGTTTTTCCCTATAGGGTCCACAGCGATAGCTATATCTTCGCCAATTCTCATCCGATTCTCAAGCGGAGTACCTTAAACGATTTCTGGATCGATTCTCCACCATTCTGCATCAAAATCCTGAGACCAAATATTTTGTTATATTTTTTGTCCATTTTTCGTGGGATCCCTGAAAATGGGGTTTTCCCCTATAGGGTCCACAGCGATGGCTATATCTTCCCCAAGTCTCATCCGATTCTCAAGCGGAGTACCTTAAACGATTTCTGGATCAATTCTCCTCCATTCTGCATCAAAATCCTGAGACAAAATATTTTTTCGATTTTTTCAAAGTTAGGAAAGTTTCAAGTCGATAGCTTTATAACTGAGAGACTAGCTCGCAAAGAAACAGACAGACGGACATGCTTATATAAACTCAGGAGGTGATCCTGATTATACATGATGTACATGATAGGGTCATAGATTTCTCCTCTGCAAGGGTACATATAAATAAATAAATATAAAACTTAGAAATACTTACACCTGGATTGAGGAACAAATCGAGATGATTGTGCAGGAGGACCTGGTTCTGCTGATTGCCCAGGCAAAAGTTTTGCAAGAACTCATGGGCCAGACACATAAGCTCCTTCATGAGCTCGTCGTCCTTCTCGTCGTAGGGATTCTGCAGAAGATCGAGGACTACGGTGTGGACACCAACATTGCGCAGCAACCGCTGTTCATGCTTTCGCGGCTTCACCACTGAACCCGGACCAGTGATAGTGGTGACACAGAACTTGTTCATCCGGATGAGTATCTCCTTAACCTTGCGGTACTCGTTTCGCTGCTCCTGAGACAGAGCGGCATTGTAATCCACGTTGACCGCATCCCCACCAGCATCTGGGCCTCCCAGTTCGTCCGTGGCCTTGGCCTTGTAAACCCAAAGCTCGGACTTTTCCACGCTCTGCCGGAGTATATCCAGGTCGGACTTTATTTGCTTGTACGACTCCACATCGCTGTCCGAGACCAGGAGTTGGACCTAAAAAACGGATATCAAGAGCAGAACAGGATTAGCCCTCGACTGGCATGTTAACCCCAGAGTGTCTCAAAATCATGGGTACGTACAAAATCAAAAGATCGGTCGGTACAGTATGCGGTGTACGTCCACTTTGTTAATTGTGTTTTTTTAATCTAGTACGTGAGTTCAATTGCGTGATTACATTATACGATATAATTAGTACATATGGTGTCGGATTAGTAGGGTCGAGTCTCGATTTATAGATTGAGATTGAGAGTTAGCGCATGCAAACACAAAAGAGAAAATGAGCATTAGATCAATTAGTGAGTTAGTAGCCAACAAAGCTAATTAATTAGTGAATATCTACGGCCCGCCGAAGTATCATTGCTAAGTATGTTATGGGAATAAACAAACCTACAGAATTCCACAGATTACATCATTTTACTTGAAAATTATTCTGGCAATAGTATTTTGTAAACAATTGGAAATTACGTGTCCATGGTTAGGGTAAACTCATTGAGCAGTAAAGAATTTGTTGAATATTTAAACTATTCAATAGGTATTTAGACTTAAATTTTCATACATAAATGGGTTTTTATCTTCACTTTAAAAGTGTTGGCAATAGATTCCCAATACCGAAGATATAAGAGTTAGTTTGTTCATGCAATTCTAAATGGTTATTCTATTAAGTAAACATAGCATTAATGAATACATAATAAAGCTTCTACTACAAGTTATGCGAAAGATTTTAAGATATAAACGCGTTTAAATAACTTCAGTTAAAGCCATAAGGACATCCCAAAAGCATTTCAAGGTTAGTAACAGCTCTAAAGTGTAAATATCATAGACTCTTTGCAAACGTACCTGTCTAAAGGCCTGGAGGACCTCCTGGCGCTGACTGAAGTGCCGGAAGAGCAGATGCAGAGCTCCGGAGACCAGTGGGGCGTAGTCGTGCATGATCAGGTGGAGCAGGACTCGCAGGAAGGTGCGTCCGCCCTGGCCATCCAGGTCCAGGTTAGCTGCATCGCTGCGCTCGCAGTCGAAGATGCCCTCCGCCTGCACCCCGATCGACTCCAGGTCGATGTTCTTTTGGCGTGCGGCGGTGGCGGCGGCTGCCGCTGCGGCAGCTGCCATGGACTCGGCACTGACCAGGGGATCGCTCTCGTTACCGCTTCCAGGAGTCTGGGGTGGTGACTGCTGCTGGGGTGGTTGCTGCTGGGCTTGCTGCAGACTAGTCTCAATGTTGGCAGCAGTGGCCGCCACTTCGGACTCATCGAATTCCCGCTTGAATATGGAGAGCAGGCAACTGATCCTGTAGTCTAGGCGAACATCCAAAATAAACTGGAGTATCTCAATAATTTTTAGCTTGGTGTCCATCACCAAAGGATATTCCTTCATTAGCTGGGAAACAGACTTGCGCTGCTGTAGGGCTATGCTCGGAGCAGCAATGGCTTGACCCACGGAACCCAGGGCCAAGGAGGTCATCACCGTGTTCATGTCTCCAATGGAGCGAAGGACTCCTCCTTCAGCTAATAAAAGAAAAAAAGGGTAATAAATAAGTACATAATTTTGTCTAGACGCAACTATTTGTAACAGAGGGGTTTAATATACTATTCATTACACGATAAATCCTATTAACTCTTGGCTTACCCTCTGTGCTTGTCTCCTCATCGACAGCTTGTCAAGAAAAGGCAATAAACTTAATGTTATATGAATTCTTAATTTATATTCCTTAAAACTTACAATCAATATCAGTGCTGGCAAAGGCTCCCGAGGAAGTATCAGACACGCAGTCCAAAATGGAGAGCAGTGTTTTGGTGAGCCTCAATAAATCACTGAAGCTGTAGAAACCAAAGTATATCAGATCTCTGGCCAGTTTAACCACCTAAAATTAGAAATTACTTAGTCAGATCTTTAAATAATTGATTTCTATACAAAATTACTTCAAAGGTGAGTTTGTTCTGCTCCTGATCTGTGAAGAGCCAAACTTTTGTTGCAACATTACACAAATAGTTTTCCACAAAGGCGATAGTTGTGTTGAACTTGGCTCGACAGGCTTGTTTGTTTTGATCAGGTTGTTGGTTTTTGCCATCATAACTAATAAAGAATATATATAATTAATTAACAAATAAGTAAAGTTCAAGAATAAGTTCAATACTCACTCCATAATGGACATTTTGGAGGGTATTTCACTCCAAAGACGAGCATATTTCACGGGAGTTACAGGCTCTTGAGGATCGCGATCCACATGAAGATGCAACATCAGGCGGCAGAAGGAGGCTCGCAGCTCGTATGGCATTGTTTCATCTGACATGCACCTGTTTATAATAAAGCATATGAATCCGACTTTTAAGGTTTCTCATTCTAATATCACTCACTTTAAAATCAAATCAATATCCAGCCTGGGGGATAATTCATTGAGGGCCAAGTACTGACGATTGAGACACATATTGGAAAACAGATTCAACTGGTGTCGGTAGTAGTTCAGTATAGATGCCTCCAGCTCATTGTCATCTGCCGCACAGTTTGCCAAATCGGCCATGGAACGAGATGTCTGAAGGATATAAAAATTTGAAGAATAGTTAATACACCTTTCAGATAATCCCTGCAAGTAAACCACACACCGGTTGTCCTGTCCACTTCAAATGGATTTCGTATCTGTCCACAGTTGAGGAGCTATCATCCTCGTTTAGGCTAGCACTGTCCCAAGTGGTTGTTGTAGACGTGGACTGGACATCTGAGCGATCCTCATCATCGCCAGCCACCTCGGCGAGAGTGGAGAGACAGACATCCTCAGTAGTTCCCTTGTAGCAGCGAGCAGAGGTGGATCCACTGCGCAGAGCCTTTACTTGAGTCTCGATGAGAATGTCCTTGTTCTTGTCGCTCAGCACGCTTTTGCAGATCAGCTCCTGGGTGACGGCGATGGCCTTCCGGTTGGAGACGCACAGGTCGGAGAGGTAGTCCAGAAACCGAGAGTCCCAATTGTGCATGTTTTTGCGCACCAAACCCACAAACGTCTCGATTTCCGCGGCTGTGATGTGCTTCTCCAGCAGCTTGCGGTTGTTGTGCAACAGGGCTGTGATTGTGTCCTCCGCCAGGATATCGTATCCGATCTGCTTCTGCATCAGACCAAAATGTTTGGCAATGTACTCCTGATTCTTTCGATAGTCCTGCTGCGAGAGTCGCAGGATGCGGTAGCATAATCGGAAGATATTCTTGTAGGGGGCATTCTTGGGATCGCTTAGCTCATCCAGCCGCAGGAAGGGACCATCTCCAGCAGTGTGCTCCTGGAAAGGTCCTTGCAGGATCTTGAATAGCTGCTTAAGGATGTACTGCTCGCGTAAAAGCTTTTGCCGATCGCGTATCGGGTTTTTTATGGTAAACTCCAACGCCTTGGTTTTATTTTGTTCATTTTCCATTCCGGCTATGAAGTACACAATGTCTTGGAGCAACGAGATTAGAGCCCGCCGCTCGTTAATCGAGATGCTTCCATTGTCCAGCTTGCTGGTTACTGTGGCCAGGACTTTGCAGGCGTCGTTGGCAAAATCCAGGTCTCGAACTTCCACCGGAGAAACGGGGATTAAAGCAAAAGCCTCCTTGTCTTCCTTGATGGGCGAACAGCAGACCATCGACATCACCGGCTTGTCGTCATCCGCATCGATGGGAATCGAGGTGGCATGAACCCAAGTGTTGGAGCAGATGTGCTGAAGCCTCACGTAACTAGACTGCGGAACTAGGCTGTCCGGCCGGGCCATTGTGGTGGCATCCAGGACAAAAACTGAGGCAATGTCTGCTGAGTAGGGCACAGAAACCAAGCGGTACTGCTTGGCTTTGGGTTTGTCTGCAAATCAAAATTGAATAATATATAAAGTAAGTTTTACTGGATATATTTTAGGAAACCTACCATTTACGGTGGAGTTCATGGTGGAGCAACCAATGCCCGAATCCTTGCTACAGTCTGCCAGAAGTGGTTCATGGGACGAATTCCCAATATCCGCTTCGGCTTCGGCTGCCAAATAGTGTCCTGTCGCCAGGTGCTTAAATCTGTACAGGGAGTTCCAGTCTCCGGCACCACCTCGACAGGAATCATGCTGCACCACTTCAATCTCCCACAGCGCCTTGCTACTTGTGGCGGCCGTGGCACTTGTGCGTCCAGTGGTGCGCAAGAAGACATGGTATTGCTTTTTGTACTCGTCCATGGTAAGGAATTTTTCCTGCTCAGCGTGAAACAGACGCACCACATCACCGCCCTTAAGTATGTGCTCCTGATTCTCCTTGTGCTCCATAAACAGCGAGATCTTCCACGAGGTGGACGAGTTGAGGACGTTGACCTCCTTGCAGCCTGGGTTGTCGGGTAGCTCGTAGTTGGCCGCCACATGCAGGTTCTGTTGGTCGGCGTTAACCGGACTGAGGATTACCTTGTCGCCCACTACCACATAGTCACCGATGGAACGCAGCTTGTAGAAGGGTTTGATGTAAAACCAAGATCCCTCATTGCCATTGGCGTCCAGGTAGACCCTCATCGCATTCTTCTCCAGTAAAGAGGGCAAACGCTTGTTGACTGTCAGGTATTTGTTGGACTTCAAATGGAGTAGCTGCACTACAGCCCGTCCATATTGGATGGAGGTGCCCAGTAGCTTCTTGTTCTCCGTCTCATTCTGCTTCTTTTCAATCTCAGCAGCATGCTGGAAAATGATTACATAATTATACTTTAATATTGGAGACAAGAAGGCTTCATCTAATAACCTTACATGCAATCGCTTTAGAAGATTGGGGTCCGTGTTGGAACTGGCCGATTGCTTAGCTGCTTTCCAAAATTGCTTTTGTGCGGAGTATCGATTCATGGGACATATTTTGATGAGGCAGTCTAATAGATAGAATAATTATTATATAGATAAGAACCTCTTCAAACTCTATCTTACCCCTGAACTTCTTGGGAGGGCAACTCAAGTCCCCGGCCTCTGGGCAGACGACTGTACGATCATCAACAAGGCTGGTGGAAGAAACAAAAAAAGTTAAAATCATTTTCAGCTACAGGTGCTACCAGAAGATCCTTTGGCGCTTGTTATAATCTTGTTCAGCCAGGACAATGGCACTTACCCGAGAGTACTCAAGAAACCACAAACACTGCCCTCCGCATACAGGGAGACAATGTCCCCCAAGTGCAGGAAGCTGGCCGAGCCAATTATATTGTCGCCCATGTTTGTTGGCTTCTGTAGGTTAGAATACCGAGGGGTGGTCCACCGGGGTCTCGGGTCTTTAGCGGCGAGTGTGTGTGGAGTGGCTGCCACCGGGTGGCGCAACAATGGGCCACCGCCCGCAGCTCCTCACGTGGCTGCTCCTGTTGGTCTCGCTCGCTCGCTGTTTTTCCCGGCTGGGAGCTTTTGTTTCCTTTGGCGCAGTCGGTTACGCGAGTTAATTGCAATGATTTGTCGTCCTCGTTAGGTCCTGCGGGGCTAAGCAAAGAGAACAAACGCAACATGAGTTTGCTTACATCTCACCAGGGCACATTAAGAATGCCATTTAGTAAAAGTCTTAAATTATTGTATGCTTTGTTCATTGTTTTGTTTTTAATCTGCTGGAATGCTATTAAGAAAAGACTTGTTTTGTTTAAAAAGATCATTTAATTACTATCAAAAAATTTATAAATCAATAGTACTTGGCTTGCTCCCTATGTTTAGAAACTTAAAGTGTTGGCCCATGGTTTTCTGGCGAATAAAAAATGATTTTCTCACAGCCCGCTGTGGCACCCCGAATTCTGTTTTTTTTTTTGTTAGAAGAATATACAATATTTATGGATAATTTGTCCAACAACCCCACATGGCTCGGCATCGCGGGGGCTCCCAATTGTTCCCAATACTTTCCACCCTCACTTTGGGACACTGTGACGTATGCTTAATATTTTCACCCCCAGAGAGATAGTCAGTCGTACGCTTAATACTACCAATAAACATTTTTACTTGGTTTCTGCTCCTCTGCCAGTATACAAACTACAGTTGTCGTTTTTAACGATTTTTATAGTTGGCACTCGATGCTTTTTATGATTTCTGTCTACAGATAATGGCTGCATTACAACCGTCGAGGGAAAATAGAAAAATTATATGTGTGTGTACAAATGTTCTACATTAGATCCTGAATACTTTCATTGAAGGATGCCTTTCCTGACAGTCAGCCACAAAAGTTTAAAGAGGTGTTTTTTGCTTGAAGAGTCCTACAAAAGTTATTTAATGTTTTCAGTTAACCCCAAACTTTATTTCTAGACTCTTTTAGTTGGGAATTGAAAAATGCTTAAAGTGTTTGGGTTTAAAAAACCACATCATGTTGAAAATAATTATTAAATCATAAAAGAAAATTTATTTTTCTTATTGGTAAACCTATAAAAGTATTCCCAGAAGTTTTGTTTATTTATGTATTTCATTAGCCTTGCCAAACCCCATATTTTTGGGATGATCCATATGAGTGAGTTATTTATTCGCCCATTCAAAGTATATGTTTCTGGTGATTAGTTGGAGCTTAAGGAAGAACATCACCGGCATACTAATGGGCTGTTGGCTTCCAAACAAAGACGGCAGCTTATGGGAGGATTAATTGTTGCCAACTGTGGCTTTTGGGGAGTCCAACTGTTGGATTGATGTACGAGTATGGTTTCAGTTAATCAGCTTGATTGACAATTACAATTGCCGAAATGACTTTACCTTGTCTCAGAGTATCTGACAAAGCCCATTAATGCTTACGAATGCCACCCAAAAACATCGCTTCAGTCAAGGAAATGAAAAATTCATCACTTCTCTCTAGACCAGGCCACTTTATGGGCCTGGAATTCAAGCAAATCCGGCGAAGGATGGCAACAGCCAGCAGCGTCTGCTCAAATATGTTCATCTTGTAAAAGGGAATGACGGCAGGAAGCCGTTGACTGAAGGCAGGAAACAAGGAACGGGGCCACGGAATTTAAAAGCAACCCACCCAGGCCCTGAAAGACAGCTGGGCCATCAAATCAGACACCCTGGGAAAAAAACCTACCAACTTTTCTACGTAAACCAATTGATTTTGGGTGGGTGAAGAATTTTCACGCATTTTCCGGATGGCGATTAAATCTGTGTTTGCCAACATGGCAATTATCTTCTAATCACAATATGCTGACAGGGCCAATGATTCTGCCTGTTCGATTGTCCGGAACCCACCTGCTGTTAGACAATTAAAACGAAATTTATTCGAAAATAAATTCGGCTAACGAGCGCTTTAATCAAATTACGCGGTCAAATCACAATAATCCAGCAGCCAGGGGCTACCTTAAACAAAAATTCACACAAACACACAACCGGGCAGCCGAGCAATGTGGATACACACACATGGCCCTCTAGTATCTATGAGTGGGAGCTCAGATATTTGCCTATTTTTTTCGTTTTATTGTGGCGGAAGCTGGCCTTCCCTGGGTTCTGGTGGTCTCTTTTTTTTTGCCAGGTGTACATTTTCATCTTGTGGAACACCAGACACTTGCACCAACCTCTTTTAATTTGGGCGCTTTGTAAACAGAAGAAATATTAATGCTTGCGGTCGCTGGACTTTTGAGAAAACCAAAACTTGAATGTATAATTCTGGGGATTGCGGCCAGCGCTTTGAAGTTAAATTTTTTTATTTTCACTTTTCCAACGCGACGAACAGCGACCCACAAGCGACGAGCACTCCAGCGAAAATGTTGGCCAAAGTTCGCCGCATTAGGCCAAAAAGCTAAGGCACCAAGCTTTTCCACAAGCTTTCCCCCATTTTCCGGCGAGCCAGCTCCGCCTTTGAGCGGAATTTGTGGCACTTTCGCTCAAGGCACCCACCGCATTCAAAATTCATTCCATTCACGTCCCGCCCGCCCGGAAACCTTTCGATTTCAGAAAATTCTTTATGCTTTACGCATCAGCGCTGAGAATTAGCTGGGTTAGTAGTGCCAGTTAGTTAAACTTTTGCTTTTGTGCCTCCGCCTGAGTGCCTCTAAACGTGGCTGTGAGCTCGAGCATGTGCAGATTTGATTTCACTTTTTGCCCAGGTCTTTGGCTTAATGCGATTTCCCACGCCGGGTCAAGGTCGCGAATGTGACATACGGCCCCCAGATGCACGGCGTGCGTGCCCCTCCCTGATAAGCCTTTGTTTGGGCATGAATGGAAGATTTCTTTAAAAATGCATTTTAGTCAGATTAGTTTGCCATGGTATTCGAGGGTTTTTTGTTATGGAAACGGTTTATGAGAATTGTGTGTGGAATTTTAATGCGGAATGGATGGTGATAAAAATGCAATTTTGATTAATAGCAGGTACTGCAATATGCAGACTTATAAGGATATTAAAAAATATATTTATAAACTCATATTTAGTGATTTAATAGCAGGTTAGTGATATTCTACCACTATGGACCACCAAAAAGAATAGTTTAAGTTTAGGATTAATTAAATTAACAAAAAACTTAAATTTTTTAAATAAAAGTTATTATTTAGCCTAACTACTGACCTAGCTCAAAAAAACCTTTAACTTTTAGTAGTCATCTGACCCGGAGAAGGTTGTTCCCTATCGGCCTGTCTAGCACTAAGTACTTAATTATCCACGCGATTAACATATTAAATAGCAATTATTTAAATTAACTAAACAGGTGAGTAGATTGGAATTTTTCCGATAAATACCAGAGAGCTTTAGACCCAAAACGAGTGAATCACATGCGTGAGCAGCGGCGAGCAAAAGCCACAAGTGGCCGGCACTTGCAAACAAATGCAAACGTCGACGCCAGCGCCAGCAGAGCAGCAGCAGCGCAGCAGAGTGGTGGTCAGCTGACCGTGTTCACGTGCGGCGCCAAACAGCTGATGGCGGACGAAAACAAAGAGAGAAAGATGGGGAGTGGCGTGTAGAAAGAGTGGGGGTGTGTGGGGAGCACGAACGCCGCAAACATTTGTTTACATCCCAGGGCGCAGGCGTGGCTCAGCTTTGGGATAACTTCAGAAAGCTCCGCCCGAACGCTTTAAGCTCGAAAGCTGCGCAAAAAAAGGAGGAAAACTTCAGAGGATTTTCCAGTAGCAGAGGAACGCGCAAAGCGCCACGTTGTAGTGTCTGTAGACCGGAAAAGTGAAAGCCAGCAAAAGTGGGACTCCGAGGCGTCGCCGAGTCTTCGTGTTGAGCGGGCGTCGGAAAGTAGGCAACATTTGCTGCCTGTCCACGGTGCGTATGGGTGATGTGCTGTGGTGTGGTACAGTGTGTGATGCTGCTGCCCCAGTGAATTTTGATGGGGCAGGAAAGCTCAGGCTTTTCGAAAGATGTTAGGCCCAAGTGTCGTCGTCGACAGAGAAAATCAAAATTAAATGAAACAAAAATTACACATTTTGTTTTCAAAGTTCAAAACACCCGAAATTGGCAGACAAAACGGAGAGGTACAAAAAGGATGAAACTTTGCTGTGCGTGTGATAAAATTGGTGGCTGTGTGTGTGCCATCCTGCGACTGTGTGCGTCCGTTTGAGCGCTGTGCGCGTGTGTGTGTGCGCAAAAAGAATAGAGAAAGCAAAGCATCCCGTAGGAGTGGCACACAAAGTGTTTGCATAACTTAACTCGCGCCCGCAAAACCAGCCGACCGCCCAACGCCCACCATCGCCCTAGCGCCACCCCCAGCCAATAACTTGATTAAATGCCCAGAAATTCAAGCGAAGCCAAGTGAGCAAGAAATGGATATGCAGAAATTGGCCTTGCCCCTTCAAGTTTGTGGTGATGTGCAAATGAAAAAATTCCTAACCGATGCCCTAACCGAAAATGACCCCACAATAGTTTGCAGTGTGGCGGGTCGCTTCAGCGTATATCTAGATTGAGGCGTGGCCGTGCTAATCCTAATCAATCCCGCCATGGACTATGTCCAGACGGCCCAGTGCGTTGTGTATTCTGTGGTTATCGTTGTGGGACTTATCCTATTGGGCATCGTAGGGTATATTGCATATACGTTTTGGTGACGGAACGAGTGCGCTTTTGGGCATGGTAACCAAGGTCGTTACATGCCTTTAATTAACCCACCAATATACTGATATGACAAGGATGTATGTTCTTTGTTGTAAAAATATAATGTATTTTGCCAGAAGGAACAATGAACTGGGCCAGAAGATATTGATTATTCTCATTATAAAGTCTGTAATTCTATTATACATAAATATACTTATTAAAAAATGGAAAAATATGATCTGTTACTGTTTCTAAATCCATTTTTGCCCTGTCTAGTATCTTAATCTGTTTTCGTGTCCCTTTGGAACGCACATTCCTCTTAAATCCGTTGAGCAAATAGGATTCTTTAGAGAAATCCTCTTGCTTTGTCCGCACAACCCAAATAGTTGCTCAAGCCCAACGAATGGGGGTCCAGGCCATCAGGCACTTTAGCAACAATAGACCGAATGTAGAAATTCAGCTAACTGAGGCACATCAGTGTGCAATGCTTCAAATCATGCACAGAATGGATGGAATACCCGTTCTCGCCACCACTTCATCCAATCGTCGTGGGAGGGCTTAAAGGTCCTGCTACCATCTTTTCGACGGATTGGGATTCAGTGGAGCGGAATGGACGGGGCTGAGAAAATACGTACATATGTTTGGCAATTCGTGTGTGAAAAATGCGAACGAAAATTGCCTACGAAAAGATGCTGTAAAGTACACAAAAATATAAAATGTGAATTGCCAACAATGGGCCAGGAAAGTCGCAACACTTTAGCAAATTCGGCTGCTCCACTAAGGCAGAAGGCAGGATGGAGGTTGGTCGGACATCCTTGACTTGGTTATTGGCTTAGATGGCTTTCTCGGTTAAGCCACACACAATGGTCGACCGAAAGGGATACGAAAGGGAGAGTAACGGAGTAGGATCTCAAGAAAAACGGATAAAAGGTTAAAGCAACAGGGCGTGGATGTGAACGACTCGGGCGACAAAGTTCAGTTCAAAAGTTTCAGGGCTTTTTTGATTGAAGCTTTTGTCTGAGGACGACTCCTCTGGGAGTTGTCCACACCATTGGATCGCACATAAAACAATTCCCGTTTATAGTCGGAAAATTAAATTATCGAAAATTGGCCAGAGGGACAATTTGCTGGCGCACATAGTAGACTCGCAACACGCACTGGTCCGTTTGATTTTGGCCCAAGGATATCCGCCAGAGAAAGTCAATTCAATTGAACTGCTACGCTAGTCACCACTAATTGAACCCTCCACCTGCAATTGGGCCTTCGTTAAAATCTATATGTGTGTATCGAATGTTGGGGCAAATTAAAGTCAAAAACCACTGCAAAATATTGCAATAAAGCATTCTCCATTGGCATCGGCATCATCAGCATCAGAATCAAATGCGAGCCGCTGTCGGGCTCAATGTTTTCATTGTTGTCAGCCTGTCAGTTCGAATTACTCTGAAGCCACCGCCCCCACAGCAGATGGGTGGCCACTAGGTAGTTTCACCCACCCGCGACCGCGTCTCACGCCCTTCTGCACCACCCGTGGGGCTCGCGAATCCCACACACGCCGCCAACAACAACGAAAATTAAATAAAATGTTAGCCATGGCACGTCCGCAATGTTAAATAGTTGAACAAAAACGGGCCAAGAAAATAACGTAGAGTTTGTTGTGAACATAGAATACTCTTTTTAACTAAAATTAATACTTAAATAAAATTTAAAAAATATTTTATTCAAGAATACAAAAGTTTGTTAGTGCTTTTTATAAAGTTTTCATAATAGTTTTATGAAATGGTTCAAAGTAAAAACATTTCATATAGGTTATCATTCGATTAAAATATTACCTGAGAATAACCTACTTATACTCCCTTAAAGACATATCAAGAAATAATGTTTAAAGTCAATTATAGTTTATACTTCCTACAATACTCTTTTTATTTCAATCGAAGTTCATTAGGGGCCTTTTTAAATGGACATGAAAATATGTAAGTAGCGATCGAATCGAAAGTGTGAAATTCACATTGACATTTTTCAAAAGTAGGTGGAATGTCGTTGACTTCATATCCATATGGGTTGGTTGTACAAGTAGCTGAACTTGCACTACATCAGCCCTTTGTTACCATTTTTCATGTGTATTTTTGCAAACGAGGAGCAGGATAACAAGAGGCATACCTTGGGGAAACTTGTCCAGAGTATGCCGTTGAGTGAGTGAAGCTGTTCTCAGGACCAAACTAGGGGGAAACTGTTGAAGTCAAATCAACTATTTATGGGAATTAATAGGAAATGAGTCCACAGTCCACAGAGTACTAGGGGAATGAGCAATAAAGGTAAATAGCATTTAGATGCAAGGCGATGAAAAACAATTTAATCTAAAGGGCTGAGCAAAGCGTTTTATTTAAGCCATTAAGAAGGACCCTTTCGAAGGCAAAAGAATTAATTACTGCTTGTGTTTTACGCCCCGCTTTTTGTAATTTGTTTATTTATTAAGGTCTGCCTGCTGTCTGGTCCACGAAAGCTATTGAAAAGCTCAAGAGATCTCGGCGCACCTGAGTGAAAACACAAACACACACAGATAGAGGCACAACCGCAAGCGCCGACACAGACGCAGGCAGATGACTTGCTGGAGAGGCCTCTTCGGCTCGTTCATTCCGCTTCATTGATAACTCACGACCTCCGGGTCCACTCACAAACACACACACACTCCCACTAATACTTATACTAATTGCAACCAAGTGGGCTTGGGGTACTTGCACAAAAACTCGTGAGTGTAAGGGTTTATGTTCATGTGTGTGTGTGGGGAGAGCATACTTTATTTATAACGGGAAAATGTCGCTTACACAATTTGACTATTTATGTTAATTGGTGGCGCCACTCTCGGCGCCATCCTTTTATCCCCTTGTGAGAACTCCGCCCAAAGCAGATGGCTTTCGCAGCGAATTATGTGCATGCCAATGGACATGGCAACATTCCAACATTCATTAATTTGCATTTAAGTACAGGTGTATTAGAGCAGGTAAACCATAATGAAATGCCTGCATATTTTTAATGCACAATATTGACTCTCCCACATAATCATTGATTTTCCACAAGCTTTCATTTAATTTCATTTTTTTCGTTTAAAATGGAAGAGAACTAAATAAAACCAAAATATATGTACTGATTTTTATCTATTTTCATGAGCCAGTTGTATTTATCTTGAAATTTAATCATTTCTGATAAGATATTTAAGGTTTCAGCTGTCAAAAGAGTTTTTGTATCTAACATTTCTGTCAATAATATAAAGAGAACTACCAAAAGTTACATAATATGTTTTCGTACAGAAATAGTACAGATTTAAAAAAATATTTTAATAGTAGATTGAATGTTATAGAAAATAATATTCATAGAATAGTAGCTTTGAATTTGATCTCAAATAATTTTTAAACAACAAGCATTCTAGAGTTTCAACTGAAGGGGCCGCCTTAGAAAGAAATATTAAAGTATAGTTTATGAGTAAATAGTTTATGATCCATCCCGTGAGACCTCACATAAATGTTCCATAAAAGCTAGACTTGTCGCACTCAAGATCTAAGAATTTTATTCTTTAGATTGAGATTTGGATGACTGAAATCAGTTTTGGAATTCAACAGATTGGAGTAAAATTAATTCTCTTAAATGCTTTTATTAAAAATTGGATTCTTAAAAAGAAAGTTTCTCTTAAAATGGAAAGCTTTACTATATTAACCTTTATTAACCACTTTAGAAATTAATTGGAAATTCTCCGACCTTCATAATAAAGTAATTCTCTAAAAAGCATTAATGCGAAAGTAATTGATCGTAATTGTATGTTCATATGGCTGTTAAGTCGTATATTACATTATTAGTAGGCCATTAAGAATTACTTGAGTGCACTCTCATGATTGCAAACAGTGTACGAAAATGCAATTTCGCGCTGAAAGGCAATCTTTATGCCACGCAATTAAATCGAAATCATCGCGTGCAGCAGCTCCAACATGCCCCAGCCTCAGGCTGCAAGCGGCCGAGCTCCACCGGCCTGGTTCTATCTCCCTCTTTCGGTAACACTCCTCTCTCTTTTCACTCCTGCCTGTCTCTATCTTGGGGCCTCTGGTTGGTGCTTCTCCCTCTATCACCCAGTACCTGCTCGGCACTCAACAATGTGGCGCTTAATTAAGCACGCGTCTGCCCTGACAGCAGTTCCCCACCTTATTCCCTCCCCCTCGGCTCTCAATCGAGTTAAGTGCAGTGAAAGAAATTACTGTGCTTATGTTTCTTATATAATGTATGTGTAATCAGTAAACAGAATCTTTTAAACCTGGAGCCTGAAACCCGAACCTGTAGATAAGAAAAAAACACCCATTTTAATGCAAAAAAATAATTTGTCTAAAAAAGAAATATTTTGTTAAATCCCATTATCAGCGAATTATTATTGAAATGTATAGATTTAAGATAAACCCAAAAAGCGGAAGGTACTTATCACACTTTCTTCGTTTATCATGTATTGAAAATACGTTCTGCATTTCTATTTAAAAATATTTGATTTATTCAGATTCCAATTTTTTTTTCTGCGTGATCCACAGTCAGATGAAATATAGAAACAGTAGAAGGTATTTTTTCTTTGGTGGCCCTTGCCCTGGGGTCTGCTTTGTAATTGAATCAAAGAGGTTTGCTGGCTTTATGCGCTTTGATTTCTTTTCAATTATTCAGCCAAATAAAACGAACCTGAATATGGGCGGAGGCGTGACGGCACTAGATAATAGCTATCTGGGTAATTAGCTCGGGCCCAGTTCCGTCGATAAATCGGATACCTGAAGAGCTTATTGCCTTATGACCTACTTTAATCGGTGGCAAGCCCTTCGGGAAAACAGAAACCAGAAAAACCAGTCAAATCAACAGGTTGCTCGTTGGCTTATAATAAAAGATATATAAATGTACGTACGTTACGCTACAATGTATCGCTGAATATCCAAAAAATGAAAAGAGGAACAGAAGCAGCCGCTGAATCATCCGCTTGCTGATAGACACGATCGTAAATCGAATTTATATTTATTTTATTCAAATTGAACTTCACAAGCAAACACTCGAAAGAACTTAATATATTTTCACCTTGAGTGCGCGCACTTAGCCGCAAAAAGAAGAAGAAAATAATAATAAAAAAGCGAAGAAGACGGCGAAATAACAAAACCGCACACAATAACAATAACAATGAGGGGGCAGCGACGTCAGCGTAGACGCGGGCAGCGGCAGAGGTTCAGTTGTCAATAAGACACAGCCGTAAAAAACACGCGACAAACAATTCCGGTTAAAGTCAGAGAGGCGAAAGCAAAAAAAAAAAAAGTGTAACCCACCAACAACAATTGCCTCCCCCGCCTCCGCGAAATCACACTTTGGGGAAGCGCAGCGGCAGCACAGCAGCGTCGACGCGGCAGAGCAGCAAAGCAAACAAAACGCACAACGCGATAGCCGATTTTCCAAGCGTTTTCGCACTTTTCCAGACACTTTTTCGGGCCCACGCCCACCACATTCAGGCCAATAAATTGGCCATTATTTCGGCGATAAATTAGCTGCTCGAACCGTATGAAAATGCAATTTTCCAGGGCGCCGCGTCATGCACGAAAACCGAGAGTTGCTTCCGCTCCCCTTCACAGTCGTCTCTTTTCCACCGATGTGCCAGCGCAGCGCGGATAAAGCGGACCGACGTGGAGCAGCGCCAGCGAATACACGTCCGACCAAAAGCGCGCAACAAGTGTTACAAGTCGGCCATATGATCGCTAGTGTGGCCGCTTGGGACCCAAAGCTTATACCCCAATATTAAAAATGGGCTATACTTTTTTTTGTACAAATACCCCTAACATAAAAACATTAAAAATGTATGGAGTTTTAAACATAGCAATTTTGTTGTGGGAAAAACCTTTTTTTTAATAAATTTAAAAATGATCTTTCTGTTTGAGTAGCAGCCGGAAATGGGGACGCCATCTTTTTCGAGCGATCTGGCAACATTTAAGAGGTGATCTAAGCCGCGCACCTAAAGAAATATTTAAATTTATAGACCTACACATATGTAAAAGTGCTTTGATGATTAATTTTCAGAGTAAATGTGAATTATTTTTAAGTTCCAACCAGAATTCTAAATGTTTTTATAAAAAATACTCATACGACATGTGTGCCTCATGAAGCGTAAACTTTATTAAATTAAAAATATTTAATGATAAATTAGATAAAAAGTTTAATTATTACAGTTTAAATAATTGTTTTAATAACAAGTTACAGTAAAAGTTGTATGATTAAAAAAATCAAGCTTTTTAGTCCTTATATATGGAAAGCAAAAAATTACGTATACGACAAGTATACACAAAATTCTTATTTTTCGAAATTCTTTTACTACGACACTTTCAAGAACTTATTTATTGTTACAATTCTACGATACCATCTTTTTAAATAAGCAAAAGCTAGTTTAATGGATAAACTCTATATTGGCAAAGTAAAAGTATCTTCTAAATCTAAAATCTTTTATTTTATGGTTTATCTTAAAAGTTTTCTTAAATTCACATATATAAAGACTAAACTATACTCGGTGAAATGAGCACTGAGTGACAATCGCAAAGATCCAGTTAGGTCAACACTACGTATGAGTGATTTTTGGCAAAATAGCGACTAAAGCAGGGTATATTTATTATACCTGTATACAAATTAGACCTATTGTATTGCCCCACTATCTATCATTTTAAAAATTACCTTCAATGATCCGATTTAGATAATGGCTTCTTTTGCTATAAAATGATACCTATTTAATAAAGATTTGATTATATTATGACTTCCACCTACATTTCCAGAAAATGCTGCATGTTTGCTGGCGGGACTATTGAATTCATCAGACAAAGCACATCGTTTTCCTCCCCCAAAATCTTTCCAGCGCTGCAATATGGCTGCTGATGGTTTTGTTTATCGCTGGCTTTTGTTCGGAACCACCATTGTTCTGCTCGCTGAAGCCGCCCAAAGGCACACCGCATCCGATAATCCCTCGACGTACAACATTGGCGGCGTATTGAGCAATTCCGACAGCGAGGAGCACTTTAGTACAACAATAAAGGCAAGTGCCCCGAAACGATAGCTAACTGGATTTCCCTTTTCGATTTATTATTCAATTTTATAATTTCCATTTTTGCCTTTAAAAATCACAGCACCTCAACTTTGATCAGCAGTATGTGCCGCGCAAGGTCACATACTACGACAAGACCATTCGCATGGACAAGAATCCCATCAAGACGGTTTTTAATGTCTGCGACAAGCTCATCGAGAATCGGGTAAGCCGACAGCAAAATGCAATTACCTCACCACATCCGCCCAATCCCAGCCCCACACTCTGAGTGCAGACGAAGGATATACTCTGGCTGGCTTCATTTCAATAATTCAGAGGGAAATGATTCGGAAATGCCGTGATGACAAACGGTAATGTGCCAGCAGATTCGAATATCCACAAGTTTCCAGCTGGTTAACTCAACGTTTGTGGCCCGAATCCTTCCTCAAATTTACAATGTGCAGTTTTAATTGGTTTTCCTAGAGAACTTTTCAAAAGTGGGATAATTGGAAAATCGGGATATGTTAAACAATAACGTTTTTATTTACTGAAGACTTAACGGGAAACTGGGAGAACACGGTCGGGTTCATTTGATTAATGCTACTAAAACTTTGCATGGCACTGTATTTACAAAATCCAGAGCTGTATTTATACAGCACTTCCCAGAATGAAACGGGTTTCTCATGCAATTAATCAATTTGTAAAGTATTCCAAAAAATAATAACAATGACGAAAAACCTTTCAAAGCTTCCAAGTCAATGCACTGAGTTTGTTTTGTGGCTTTTGAAGCACACACCAAAAAGCATTAAATCGAAAGTCAGCATCCGTTTTTTTTGACCAACTACTCGACGATTCATCTTTTTTGATTCCATCAATCAAATATTGGGCATTATTTATGTGTGGGAAGTGGTCCTGGGCAAAAGGCAACACCCAATAGACCTGGTCCAAATCAATGCGATGCCACTACGGGGCGGCATTTGTCATCATTAATGCCAGGGCGAATTTATCATCGCTTGGCCTCCGAAATGTGCGTCCATTTTGAACCTTTCATTACTCCTGCCAGTCTGGGGAAACCAAATCAACTGTCATTGACTCCACTGGGGGCCCCTATAGCAGCCTTTAAGGTGCATGGCAAAACTATAAGGCTCAGACTAATAATTCTGAACCAAATGAGAAGGTTTCAAATAAGTCTGCAAAAGTATTACTTCTATGTGTTGCTCGAAAAATATATTTCCTTATCCTTATGTTGCTGAAACGTACTGTAGCCAATTCGGGGGCTCCCATTGCCATTCACACTTCCGCCTATCTGCCATTTTTTCTTCCTTTACCATCCATCCAAGCATTTCCCAACCTTTTGCTGCCTCAGCATTTTCCTTTGCATTGCTCATTTCCACTGATTTGGTTTGTTTCCTTCCCGACACCCTTTGACCTCCGCCTCCGTTTTGCAGGTCTACGCCGTAGTCGTTTCGCATGAGCAAACCTCAGGTGATTTGTCCCCGGCGGCCGTGAGTTATACGAGCGGTTTCTATTCAATTCCCGTCATTGGCATATCCTCGCGGGACGCGGCCTTCTCCGACAAGAACATCCATGTCTCCTTCCTGCGAACGGTGCCGCCTTATTACCACCAGGCCGACGTCTGGCTGGAGATGCTGAGCCACTTCAGTTACACGAAGGTAGGCCACTCTTCCCCCTTCCAATAGCCCCCCAAAAATTTGACTTATTGACTTATTGAGTTGTTCCGTTATCTGCTCCACTGGGCGACAGGTAATCATCATCCACAGCTCCGACACGGACGGCAGGGCCATTCTGGGCCGCTTCCAGACCACATCCCAGACCTACTACGACGACGTCGATGTGCGTGCCACCGTGGAGCTGATTGTCGAATTCGAGCCCAAACTGGAGAGCTTCACCGAGCACCTCATCGACATGAAGACGGCCCAATCGAGAGTCTACCTGATGTACGCCAGGTGAGTGCTAACAGTTTGCGTAAACAATGCATTCATAATTGGGTCAAGTTGGCCAGCTAGAGCCCATCTGTTGTTTGTGAATTTGACTGCGATTTTGATTAAATATTGGCCAGAATTCATTCAAGAGTTTGATGAATTGGATCAATATTTGATAGATAAATTAAAGGAAACACTTCCTGTCTCTATTGTCAACCGTATAAATTATTTAATTGGCTTTTAATATCAATTTTTTTATGAATCATGCTTCACGTGAAATACATAATGTAAACATGTAGATTTTTTTCCATATTGTCAGTTGTCGCCCATAAAAATCATATTGCCCCGGGAGATGCTTCAATTTGAATACTAAAGCGAGTCTGTCAATTGTTGTCAATTCTGAATAAAGTGATTTTATGCTGTACTCCATAAATTGGTTTCAATGAAAAAGCATGATACCCAAGATTACTGGGATTGCATTCTGAACATTTATCAGATTGCGGCCATAAAGTTTTTATGTTGATTATATTTTATAAATATTTTTTCTCCACTTGTTGGGTTTCGGAAACTATTCTTTCTTATTGACAAAACATGTCCATTTTTCGTGATGGGATCCCTTGAAAATAGGGAGTTACCTTATACGGTCCACAGTGATGGCTATATCTTCTCCAATTTTCATCCGATTCTCAAGCGGAATACCTTAAACGATTCCTGGATCGATTGTGCACCATTCTGCATCAAAATCCTGAGACAAAATATTTTTTAGATTTTTTGTCCATTTTTCGTGATGGGATCCCTTGAAAATGGGGTTTTCCCCTATAGGGTCCACAGCGATGGCTATATCTTATATATCTATATCTTCTCCAATTCTCATCCGATTCTCAAGCGGAATACCTTAAAAGATTCCTGGATCGATTCTCCACCATTCTGCATCAAAATCCTGAGACAAAATATTTTGTTCGATTTTTTCTCCTTTTTTCGTGATGGCAGTGTATACTGCCGATATTATATATATACTGAAATATACATCGGCTACGTCCGAAGTATAGAAAGCTTTTATTTCTTTTTTATTTATTTTGCAAATTCTTCAACTACAGTGCCGAATAGCATTTAGAGTTCTGGTTTAAATATGCATAATTCATGTTACAGCACGGAGGATGCCCAGGTTATCTTCCGGGATGCCGGGGAGTACAACATGACCGGAGAGGGGCATGTGTGGATTGTGACGGAGCAGGCTCTGTTTGCCAACAATACGCCGGACGGAGTGCTGGGCCTCCAACTGGAGCACGCCCACAGCGACAAGGGACACATTAGGGTAAGTGCGACTCCCCGGCCGGGAACTCAATTATGCATGACGTGATTTCGTTGCTCTCCTTCTTTGTCCTCGCCCGCCTCCTGCAGGACAGTGTCTACGTCCTAGCCTCGGCCATCAAAGAGATGATTTCCAACGAGACCATTGCCGAGGCACCGAAGGACTGTGGCGATTCCGCCGTGAATTGGGAGTCGGGTACGTATCAACAGCCGCCATGCGTGCTAATTGGCTCTTTCACACCTGTCCATTTCGTTTCTGCACCTGGCAGGCAAGCGTCTGTTCCAGTACCTGAAGAACCGAAACATTACGGGGGAAACGGGTCAGGTGGCGTTCGATGACAACGGAGATCGCATTTATGCCGGCTACGACGTAATCAATATCCGGGAGCAGCAGAAACAGCATGTTGTGGGAAAGTTCAGTTACGACAGTGTAAGTTTTATTTTTAAAGGATTTATAAATCTGTAGTACTTACTACTGCTTTATACAGGAGCGTGCCAAAATGCGGATGAGAATTAACGACAGTGAGATTATCTGGCCGGGAAAGCAGCGTCGGAAGCCAGAAGGCATCATGATTCCCACCCACCTGAAAGTGCTCACCATCGAGGAGAAACCCTTTGTCTATGTCCGGCGAATGGGCGATGATGAGTTCCGGTGCGAGCCAGACGAACGTCCTTGCCCACTATTTAATGCCTCCGATGGAACAGGTAAGTAATATTTAAAAAGTATATAAATAAGATGGGTATAACGTTTATTATCCTTCCAAAGCCAACGAATTTTGCTGCCGGGGTTACTGCATTGACCTACTGATCGAGTTATCCAAGCGGATTAACTTCACCTATGACCTGGCCTTGTCGCCGGATGGACAGTTCGGGCATTATATCCTACGGAACAATACGGGGGCCATGACCTTGCGCAAGGAGTGGACGGGCCTCATTGGAGAGCTGGTCAACGAACGTGCCGAGTAAGTTTGAGATATCACTTTTGAATATCAAATCACGGCCTTTTAATCCCATCTAGCATGATCGTTGCACCACTAACCATCAATCCGGAGCGTGCCGAGTATATCGAATTCTCGAAACCATTCAAATACCAAGGCATTACAATACTCGAGAAGAAACCGTCACGATCGAGTACTCTCGTGTCTTTCTTGCAGCCGTTTAGTAACACGCTATGGATCTTGGTAATGGTGTCGGTCCATGTTGTGGCGCTCGTGCTCTATCTCTTGGATAGGTAAGTGAATCTTCCTCGTCCCAGGAATCCAAATCCACAACCCTATCCTAGAACCGAAAACAAAAGCTGAGGAGATGTTAAATCGTTGCATTGGACGGTTGAATGGCAGCGATTAGCGGCTGATCCCATCCCACCTGGAACTGATGAAAAGTTCGGATCAAAATTAATCTATAATTTACCAATTTTCAAACTCAGATTCTCGCCCTTCGGACGCTTCAAGCTCTCGCACTCGGACAGCAACGAGGAGAAGGCCCTGAATCTCAGCTCCGCGGTGTGGTTCGCCTGGGGAGTGCTCCTAAACAGCGGAATCGGGGAGGGCACACCACGCAGCTTCTCCGCCCGGGTCCTGGGCATGGTCTGGGCCGGATTTGCAATGATCATTGTCGCCTCGTACACTGCCAACCTGGCTGCCTTCCTCGTGCTGGAGCGGCCCAAGACGAAGCTGAGCGGAATCAATGATGCCCGTCTGAGGAACACCATGGAGAACCTGACTTGCGCCACCGTGAAGGGCTCCTCGGTGGACATGTACTTCCGCCGGCAGGTGGAGCTATCGAACATGTACCGCACCATGGAGGCGAACAACTATGCCACCGCCGAGCAGGCCATCCAGGACGTGAAGAAGGGGTAACGTGGCAGGCTCGCGCTCGCGTCCTTTTCCGTAGCTGAGAATAGCATCGCATGTGTATGGCACTGTCCAGATCCAGATCAAGATCCAGACAACAACAACAACTACCACAACAACTACAATTTTAACAATTATTACAACTTCCAATTATCACTTTCCACTCTCCAACGCAACCTTCAGTATTCAATATTCAGTCCACCTAATGCCACTATCTCTCTCTTTCTTTGTCTCTGTCTCTGTCTCTCTCTATATATTGCTCTATCTCTGTTTCGACCTATTAGATATTGTATTTTTAATCGTTAGCGGTATATTTCGTGTTCGTGTTGGTCTTGCCCCCGTACTTAACCGTCCCCTATGTCATCTTGTATTCCTATATCTTAGAAGTTTTATATTTAAATACCTCTGCAGATATTTAAGTAAAAAATGCATTAATATTATAAAAAACATTTTGTTTTTAATCTTTATTAATAAATTTAATAATCTTTCTTTAATTTTCTGTTTAGTTTATCTTAATTTATTTTCTATCCCAACTATTTATTTCATAAATTTTTTGGTTTTATATCTCGTATATTAATTTTAAATATAAAATTAAACATTTACTCCATTAAATAAAAACTTGTATCTGCAGAGATTACAAGCAATTTATATTTTATAAAGTAACTTATTTCCTACTTGTTGTGTCATCTTAATCCCAATCAATCCTTATAAAAATCCTTTTAACTCTTTGCATCCAATTTTGTCTGCAGTAAGCTGATGGCCTTTATCTGGGATTCCTCCCGACTGGAATACGAAGCCTCCAAGGATTGCGAGTTGGTCACTGCCGGAGAACTATTTGGTCGGAGTGGTTATGGAATCGGTTTGCAAAAGGGTTCACCCTGGACCGATGCAGTAACACTCGCCATTCTTGAGTTTCACGAAAGTAAGTTCTCAAAAAACTACAAACTAGTAAACAATAACTAATACTATTACATTACAGGTGGATTCATGGAAAAGCTGGACAAGCAATGGATCTTCCATGGGCATGTTCAGCAGAATTGCGAACTTTTTGAAAAGACACCCAATACCCTGGGATTGAAGAACATGGCGGGGGTGTTTATACTGGTGGGCGTGGGCATTGCCGGAGGCGTAGGTCTGATCATCATCGAGGTCATCTACAAGAAGCACCAGGTGAAGAAGCAGAAACGCCTTGACATAGCCCGACATGCGGCAGACAAGTGGCGTGGCACCATAGAGGTAAGTTTTCGGAGATTTCTGTATTCAAAAATGTAATTCCATTTAATTTTGCAGAAACGGAAGACCATACGTGCTTCCCTGGCGATGCAGCGCCAGTACAATGTGGGCCTGAACGCCACCCACGTCCCGGGCACCATTAGCCTGGCAGTGGACAAGCGGAGGTATCCCCGCCTCGGCCAGAGACTGGGCCCGGAGCGGGCTTGGCCCGGAGACGCCGCAGACGTGCTGCGCATCCGACGACCATACGAGCTGGGGAAACCCGGCCAAAGTCCAAAGGTCATGGGAGCCAATCAGCCGACAATGCCCATGCCCATGCTGGGCAAGACCAGGCCCCAACAAAACATGCTGCCACCCCGATACTCACCTGGATACACCAGCGACGTGTCGCACCTGGTCGTTTAAGTTAACATTTTGCCAAAGCAGTTAGACTATAGAGGGAACTATTATCATTGCTCAAAACATTGGGAATTGCTAGCCAGGGAAAAGGATTACCTGTTTGTTATCGCCGGAAGGGTTGGCCAGGACCAGATGCAGGATTTTCAGATTTTATTTCCATCATTAAGCGTTTTGAATTGGCCGTTCGTCCTGGTCCCGTGCCCGCAATAATCTGTTTTATCAGAATCTAGGTGTAATGCAAAATTTTTGAATAACTTATTAAGTTTGTGTAGTTTTTATACATTTGTTGAAGGGATTCAGGAAGCAACTTCATTTATCGTTGGTTTTCATTTATTGCTTTCAATGTGCTTACTATTGTTCTAGAATACTTATACGCTTTAGCTTATTACCGAAAATTAAAAGAGTTTCTATCAAGCCTAAACTATCCAATCCGATCGTTTTCCAAACAAAATATAAAATGTTCATCTCGTAAACAAGTGACCAGATACATTAAGAGAGCCTGTGGCCAAGCTTTAATCTTAAAATTACAGAATTCACTCGAATATAAAACCCACCACCCATTCTTACAAGTTGTTCTCTAAAGGATACTCTTCTAAACTTAACTCATACCGATACCGATTTTTGATCTGGCCATCATTTTGCCTCAACTGAAAGCTCCGATTGCCCGTACAACTTATACAAATTATATTTTTTTCTTAAACAAAAAGCTTAAATAAAATAAAACCTTAAACACGATTGCCACAAAGGGCCCAGACGACTTAGGAAGGGCGAACCCCAAAGAAGCAATTAATTAAAAACATAAAACTAACATTAAATTCAAAGAAGCTTAAAACGAAATTTTAAAAACAAAAATTAAAAATATATGTATACATATTATAACTATAAGATTCAGTGTGAAAGTTAACAGCATAAATGTGAAGCATACAAAATGAAATTCGAAAAAATATTTAGTAGTGAAATATGAATTTTAAATGTTTTGAATGTGTAAACCGTTTATGCAACAAAAAATAAATATTTAAAAAATTATAGTTTTTCTTCTCATTATCTCTCATGGGAAGTCGCTCTTCCATTTGAAGAGTTACTACAAAAATAGGATTATGATCTACTAGTCTTATCGTTCCAGTTTAATTGAAGTCAACTTGTCAAAGGCCTTTATTGAGTAGTTGCCTTTGACGTTAAGCCAGTTGTTATGACACACAATTAGGTGCGAAAATGTACTAATTATTTGATGAACAAATTAGTAAATGGACAACAATGTCACCCAAGAAGAGTGCTATGATGATACTATAACACTAACTGACTGATGAATCTATTAGATGTGATGAATCCGAGCGTGCTTTCCAACTAACGCCTAACCAAGAGCTGACTGAAAATATTAAATTCGTGTAATTATTGCAATTAAAAATTTGATTGCAAATGATTTGACAACCAAGTCGGGCTGCGTGCCTGTGCCTACCACTAATTGTCAGTTTTCAGCACCACGATCACTGAAGTATATATGTATATACAGATGGAGATCCATACAGTCAGATGGATGGGAGACTAACTGGCGCTGAACAAGTTGTAACTGCTATGAAGCGGTTTTGGTGCTCCCTTGTTTTTGTTTGGGAATGACTGTTGCTGATGACAGTGCTCAAAAAAACGGGATTTCGAATAAAAATCCCCAATTTTCTTAATTGAGGTGTATAATTTCATTATTTTGGTATCCCCACTCGAGAGATTTATATGAGTCTCAGTTCAATAAAGACTCTTGCCTTGTTTTGGTTCATTTTAAAATATAAGAAAAAATTTCTCTTTAAAAGGATTAAAACCTTAATTAACAAGGATAATTTAAAGTTTATCTTTTCCTTTTATTCAAGCTTTATAAAATAACACTTCCTGTTATATTATCCTCTTATTATAATAATTAAAAGTTTTGTTGTACACCATTTCTGGTTAAAGCGTTAAATATTTTTTAGATTCTAGCCCCACGTTTCAGACTTATGTAAACTATTAATTATTGATCCAAGCACTTAGCACAAAGCCAGATACAGGTGGCTTTATCGGGACCAGACGAATATTGTAAGGCGTTGGAAAACAAGTGACGCCAAGGACAGATATATTCTGAAACCCAGTTGCAAGTGGTTTTGGTTATACTTCCTTCGAGCGGCACGACTTGGAAACCTTTTTAAAGTGGTATAAAGCAGTTAATTCAATTAATAAACGAGTGTCAAATAATGTCACCGGCCCCATCCAGATAGCCCATGGCTATTTTGTCTTTGATCGCCCATTAAGAGCCCCGCACTAGTTCCATATTGTCATTGATGATCGTTATCGTCTGCCCGTGTAATGGATTATATATGGGAGCTATTACGTTGAAATTAATTAGCGGTGAACCATTGTTATCCAACACAGTCGTCAGGCCTTAAATATTTAATTTTAGCTATAAAACAATAAATTTGACTGTGCTTCCACGAAGTTGATTCGGTCAATTAGACAGTATTCGCCTGGCCTGGAGAGGTGTTAACAAGTGCATTTGAGGGTTGAATTAAGCCGCTTGTAACTGGTTAAGGGTAGATATGATCCATAAAAGTAAAGCCGACTACAAAAGATAAAGTCTATTTTACAAGAACTTGTAAAGTATTCAATTTAATAACAACTTCAATTACTGCGCCGTTTCTTCTTTATAACATCTTTACGAAAAAAGGTTATTATAGCTTCAAAGGATCATATTTTAGTCAAAGAGTATCAAAAACCATTAAAGTTTAGTTCAGGTGCTAAAACTATAAACAATATAGCCCTGGATAATAAACAATTACAGTTTTATATTCGCAAACAAAAACAAGCCCATTTAAGTTCTCCAAACACCAGCTAATTTTAGAATGATCCTACATATAGCCTGCAAATAACATATGACTATAAAAATAGACTGTGACTTTTAAGGGCTTATATACAAGACATAATAAGTAATTGAAAAAGGGATTTTTTTATTACACTCTAATTACCTATGTATATTTATTTTCCAATGCCAGATCATTGTATATACAAATGATTTTTCCGCATCCCATTTTTATAGATCTTCAAATTCCGGAATGAATAAAAAGAAAATCAATTTATTTCATTCCAATCGGTAAACAAATTGTCTTCAACCGAATACTAAAGATCCGAACAATAAAGTTTAATAAACGAGGCGATGGAAATTGGAAGATGTGTGAATAAAATGTGGTAAACGAATAAAAATCAGTTTCGCCAAAAAATATACATACATTGCGAATCAGTGATCTGGAGCCTTATGAAGTTATAAAAATATTAGATTATTAATCAATCGTTAATCACTTTTATTGTATAATAAAAAAACCCAAAATGTGATATCGATAATAAAGTGTAATCAAACAATTAGCCCGCTCCATGATGGGGTATAACTGAAATAAATCTTTTAGAAGTATGGTGAGTTGAAAAATATATATTCGAGTCTACGGGGGACGGGGGAATAAAAGTGAACTCATCATGGTAGGTTTTGGATTTTTAATGTTTTTGTGAAAAATTCCTAACTAATGAGTGATAATGTCTGTCAGAAAGTGACCCCCATGTATAAAAAGTTGGGTAATCTAAATTGCGATGGCATAAAGGCAATTGCATATTGTAATAAGCTTTTTTTTTGACTAATAAAAAGTTAATAGACGGGCAATCATGAGTGTTAAATTTTTAGGGGTGATAGAAATAGATTCCGATAACGTTTTGATGCAATTAAAAATTATTCAATATTTTTTTACAAGTTGGGATTAAGAAAAGATGATAGAGAATATAAACTTTAAACAGCCAAAAGGCTAAAAATATTTAATACACTTCTGAAATTTCCAAAAATCCCCACAAAAGAATACACAAAAGCGGGCCAAAATTAATTGAGATCCCCACAGTCATCCATTCGGCTCTCCAGATCTTCCCAGACTAAAGGGAAGACCAGAGCAGACTAACTTGATGTGGTTTATTAAAAATAACTCTTTTTTTTTGCAGCGATCTGCTCTTTATTAAAACTGCTTCGGGTGGCTCTGTGACGCAGAGCTACAAACCAACCCGACCAGCCAGTCAGCTAACTATACAGACGGCCAATCAAACCAGATAAAACCGAATTTAATTCGATTAAGGGGGTTTTATTCGCCTTCTTTTGCACGATTATTGTTACTGGCTTGTCTTGAGTTGGTTGATAGTAATGATGTTACGATTGTGTCAAAGTTGTAGTGTACAAATGTTTGTGAATGAGAGCCCAGTGCCGCAGAGTCGGTTAGTCGCGGAATTGTTATGAATTCGGTAAACAAACGAAACAAGTTAATAGCGGCAATCGCAGGCGAATCGTCGAAACGCAAAACGTTTATGAATAGAGCGTGTCAAAGTGTTAAATATTTTCCTGAAATGCTTCAAAATGGTGTTATATTAAGTGATAATGCTCCAACAAAGTCAACCAATCGGGAATCCTTTGAAGTGGTGTCTAGAAATGGCACTATATTTATATTTTTTACTTGTTTAAAGTTTAAACAAAAGCTGTAATACCAATAGGAAGTCGTGTTAATCTAATAATTTTAAATTAAAACATATAATTCCATTTAAAACTTTAACCCAGATGTATCGTATACATTTCAAAATTTTCCAAAGAGATCTACTATGAACATAAGAAGTTATCTTTACAAGAGGCTTTAAAAGGTGTGACTTCCGCACTTAGGTTTTGTTTAAAAAAACACATAGCATTATCTATGTTACTATTCAGTAGCAGTTTCTAAGCAAATAGCTCATACTTGGATTATCAAAATATAAACGACTTAACTCCTCCAGTTGACTCATATAATGAATTAAGACATGGTACTTGAAATACCATGGAACCTTTATTTTATTTAAAAAAAACATTCTGCTGTGTTACAAAAATTTAATATTATGCTATAAACTTTTAAAATAAATCAAAATATCAAAAATATGTACATACCTATTTTTCTTTGTGGTTTGTGGAAACTTCTACGTTTACGTAATATTAATAATCATATTAAGTATACGCACTGTGGGATAATTACAAGCGGGTATCACTTAGTCGAAACTTCTTTGGCAGCATTCTTGCGGTTGTGTTTTCCCCAACTTTCCGCGCAGAGAGCTCTGCTGTGTTGAATTCGGCCATCGCAGCCCCAAACACTTGTTGAAAACTCACCACATCGCGCAGGCAATCGTCGGGTGTCCCCTCGCTGGTTTTTGGCCCGTGTGAGTGCGTGAGTGTGTGAGTGCAAACTTGTACTAAAACCAAATCCAAAGCCACGGCGGAAGCAGCGGAACGTGGCGGCAGAGCCGGAGCAGAGCAGCTGACTGGCGCAAAACGAAAAAAGCCATAATAATCAAGCGGTAAACACTTGACAACGCTCAAACGCCGTGCAACAGTCGGCGCGTAAAGTTGCAATTGCCGCTACGGATATCGGACAAGAAATTTCTATCTCGCACTCTTCGCGAAATTCAAAACAAACCCGAAATTAAGCCGAAACAGAAACGAGCACTATTAATGCATTGAAAGAATTCGGACACTTCAAGTTGAGGTCTACTAGCAGCCGGACGCGGCTATTCGCGTCCTTTCGCATCGTGTTGTGTGATATCATCCCACGCCTGTTGGGTGCGCCTATCCTGTCGTGTGTCTGTGAAATGCAAATGTGCCCTGTGCGTTAACTTTCTGCAAGGTGTTACTGCAATCGATAAGACACTGAGTCGAGAAACTCAGACAACCAGTTGCTTTTAAACAAAAACAAAGGGAACCAGCTCCCAAAAGATCACTATGACCGATCGTTTTCAGATCTCAAAGGTGAACGGCACCGCTAACGCCGGATACGATGGCGAGTCCGGGCCAACGGCCGCCGATCAGCCGGATGCTCATCCTCCAGCCACCAATGATAACCACCTGCAGCCCAAGCCCCCGGG